TTTTGTTTAAGAACTAAGAATGATGATCTGACAACAGAGTCCCTTTTATGAGCATAAGGGAGAAAATGTTTTCCCCAAGCAGGTTAACCAGGTTCCAAAGGATCCAAGTGAAAAGAAGGAGAGAAGAAGGGATCAAGACAATCTTAAGCACTCTGAAGAACAGCTCAGATAACACAGAAAAGAGAATTAGAGTGGGGTGGTGTGGGCCAGGGCACTCAGTGATTCAAGTGAGAAAATCAGCATGAGGTGAGAGTACTTCCAGACTCAGGCACAGGCATCTAAAGTAAACTCTAGATCCCGACAAGTCCATTAAGTCATTTTATGTCTTAATGAGATGCTATTCTAGACTCCAGTAGGGGCCTTGTATATGAAGAGAGAAATAATAAGACCCACTTGCTCACTCACTGTGAGAGTCAGATGAGGTCGTGTACATGAAAGGGCTTTTATCTGGGAGTGAGGCTCTAGAGTGTTTAGGACAGCTGGTAGCCGTAGAGGACTGACACTGTGGCAGTCTCTGTGGCTCTCAGAGGGCAATATCTAAGTGAGGATAAAAAGGAGAAGTAAGTGATGTCACATCACCTGGCCATAAGGAGGCCATGTAATGAGAATTTCTGTTACAGACTCAATAGGATATTCTTGTAAAACTTAATTACTTGAACTACTGCTAGACCTTGCCAGATTGACAGCAGACACTTTGTCAAGTCCTTCATATTCCTGAAGATAGAAGTGATTATGAGTTCCTGCCACTCTGGATCTAATTCGGACCAGAGTGTGGAAGTGCACATCACAGGAACTTGGGAGAAGCAGTGGTATCTCTGTGTTCAAGCTGACTTGGAGGTCAAGGCCAGGCCAAGAAAATGCATACATAGTTTTAGAAAAGCCAGGCTTGTAAGAGCAGAAAACGATAACCATTAGTTAATAGTCTTACCCTCTGGGGGAAAGTTCAGGACGCTCTCAAAAATATCATTCTAACTGCACAATTATAGTTAAGCTGGTGAAAAACAGATGCCCCCAACACTGAGCTCTCATATAAATTGTGAGTTTTCAAAAGACATATACAAAAAGTAAAAAGAAAAACTTAGAATCAAGGCATGGATTTTTTTGAGAATAGCCTCAGGAAAGTACAAGCCTTTGAAAGCAGGAACAGATTTAGGACAAAAAAGGTGAGAGGATTCTTGTTTTCTCCTAAGGTACAGAGCTGACAGGACAGGAGAGACCCACTAGCCTGGGGCTAGTGTCCTAGGTTTGAAAAAGAGAAGTACACTTCTTTGATGATCTTTGAATGACATTGACAAAACAATAATTAAAGGCTAATTAATGGACACATAGGAATTCACTAGATAATTCTCTCTACTTGTGTGTATGTTTGAAAATTTTCATGGTTTAATATTTCTTTAAATTACCTTCACATAGAAAAATCCAGAAAACAGTTGACAAGAGGGACTGTAGGAAGGTGAATACTGGGTTATAGCATGACCTGTCCTAAAATCAGTGGTAGGAAGAAAAGGGAGGTGAATCAGTGAGTGCCCCTTATTAGAAATAATTAGAATGTCCTTTGTTGTTGTATTACCCTGGGGGAAATCATATCAGCTTTGAGGGATGACCACTGTGTGTCAGTGTGCTCCTTGTTTCACTTCTTAGAAAGACTGGGACCTGTGGAAGGAATGGGCTTGTTGGTGTTTTTAACAAGTCTGTGATGAAGACAGAAGCCCCACCTGGGCCTGGGGGGAAGGGGACACAGACCTTCTGAGCTGCACTCTCTTACATCTCTGGATTGAGGGTAGTCCCAGGAGAGGCCTCTGAGCAACACCAGGGCACCTGCCCCTGAGGATAGTCCTGTACTCAACTGCATCAGTAGCATCCAGACCCACTTGGAAGCTCTTAGTCCCTCTTTGCCCTACCATGTGGATTTGCTGCCTCCTTGTGTTTCTATTAGAATAAAAATAACAAAAAGCAGGATTATGCATGGAAACCAAGAAAGACAAATTATTCTTCTCAGACTCCTTTACTGTTTCTTCCTCTTCTCCCCAACTTCTCAAGGGTGGAGCCCCCAACCCAGAACATTCTTCTGTATTTGTTTTCACCCCCTGGGGTCACCTCATCCAGATTTATTACTTCAAATGCATTAAAGAGTTTACCCTTGAACAGTATATGTTTGAACTCTGCAGGTCCACTTATATATGGATTTTTTTCAATAAGTACAGTATAGTAAATGTAATTTAATGTAATTTCCTTATGATTCCCCCCCTTTTTTTAAGATTTATGTATTTTTTTGAGAGAGAGCACAAGCAGGAAGGGCAGGGAGAGGGAGAGAGAATCTCACGTGGACTCCATGTTGAGCATGGAGCCCGACATGAGGCTTGATCTCATGACCCTGCAATCATGACCTGAGCCAAAACCAAGAGTCACGTTTAACTAACTGTGCCACCCAGGTGCCACCTTATGATTTTCTTAATAACATTTTCTTTTCTCTATCTTTCCTTATTGTAAGAATACAGCGTATAATACATATAACGTACAAAATATGAGTTAATCAACTATATTATCAGTAAGGCTTCCTATCAACAGTAGATTATTAGTAGTAAAGTTTTGGGGGAGTCAAAAGTTATATATGGATTTTCAACTGTGCAGAGGGTCAGCACCGCTAATCCTCTCATTATTCAAGGGTTAACTGTGTATGCTTATGATTCCCAAATGCCACCTCCAAGCCTCCTGACCCATAGCTGCCTACATCTCCTTTCAGTGGTTAGGTGGATATCTCAGAAGTCAGCATGTCTCTTACTGTCTGTCTGCTGTCTTGTACCTGCTCCACCCAGAACCTTCCCTCTCTAGGTTGATGGCAAGTTCCTCAGATCAAAATCCCTGACTTCTCCATTCCATACTCTACATCCAGCACATCAGCAAATTCTATGGTCTCAACCTTCAAATTATGTCCAGATTCCAAAGTGCTTTCCACACCCATGCTACAACCACCCTGGCTTGAGCCACCATCATCTCTCTTAGACTACTGGTCTCCCTATTTCTGCTGCTGCAGACCTAAAGTTCTTAGCCTAAGTTAAATGATATTTCTCTGCTCAAATACCTAAGTTAGTTCCTCATCTCATTCAGTAAAACCCAATACCCTTACAGTGCCTGCAGGCCTTCCATGGTCTGCTTCTCTTTATCTCTCTGCCTTTATCTGTGACCCAATTCCCCCCACTCCAGCCATGGTGGCCTCCTGAGGTTCCTCAAGCTGTCCTTGCCTCTGGCTTTGCACAGCCGAGCCCATTGCCCAGGTGTGTTTCTATAGACATCCCCTGAGCCACCTCTCATGCCTCCTTCAAATCTTGCTCAGATATCACCTTCTCAAGAAGTAAGGCTCACCCACTCTGACCATTCTGCTTTAGAGTGCCAGTGGCTCCCCTGAACCTCCTTTCCCTTACCATCTTTCTATTTCTGTAGCATTTACTACCTTCTCACATGCCCTATAATTTGCTTGTTTGTTTTGTTTACTTTATCTCCAGCTGATGGAATGTCCACTCCATGAAAACGGTCTTTTGTTCAGTTCATCAGTGTATTTTATGGGCCTAGAACAACAGGACCTGTGTCAATAAAATATTGATTAAAAGGAAAATACGCACCTCGGTGGCTCAGTGGTTGAGCATCTGTCTGCCTTTGGTTCAGGGTGTGATCCCAGGGTCCTGGATTGGGGTACCGCATCAGGCCGCCCACAGGCAGCCTGCTTCTCCCTCTGCCTGCCTATGTCTGCCTCTCTCTGTGTGTCTCTCATGAATAAATAAATGAAATCTTGGGGCACCTGGGTGGCTCAGTGGTTGAGCATCTGCCTTCAGCTCAGGGCATGATCTTGGGGTCCTGGGATCGAGTCCCACATCGGGCTCCCTGCAGGGAGTCTGCTTCTCCCTCTGCCTACGTCTCTGCCTCTCTGTTTGTGTCTCTTATGAATAAATAAATAAAATCTTTTAAAAATAAACAAATAAATGAAATCTTAAAAAAAAAAAATAAAGGAAAATAGAGGCTGTCAGGGAGGAGGAAGAACCAGGAGAGTCAGGACAGCCAAGAGGCCCAGCCAGGCAGGAATTGAAGCCTCTCCCCTGAATGATGATGACTGTGGAAAGCCCCTTCTCTTGAATCAGGGAATCCACTGGAGGGATCTTTCCCCCTGTTCTTGTTGGGGCAGCAGTGGGCTGTGGGAGCCCACTGGGAAGGCAGAAGTTAGTCATCCCCACACCTCAGAGTGCCCTCTCCAGCCAGCCTGAGAGCCTGCCTCTGGTTGGTTGGCTCTTGGGTTCACTGAGGCTGCCATTCTGGAAACCAACCCCATGCTGCAGATGCCTTGTATCTGCAAATAACAGAAGTCAGTCTTTCTCTCCATTGTCAGGGTAGCTTTTCAAACCCTTCACACCTGGTTTACAGATGAAGGCATGTTGAAAGCATTTACAGTTACAAGACCAGTAGGAGTTAAGAAAGTTGTTGGTTTGAGGTTGATCATTTTATTTTATAAAAATTAGATGAATTTCCTTTCTAAAAATATAATTGAATGTGTATTATATATATATATATATATATATATTCTTGTGTGTACCTTTTCTGTATGAAAAGCTGGTTGTTCTTTAATAACTTTTCTCATTTTCTTAGACTTTTATCAGTAAAGGTTTGCTAATTCAATTAGATAGCTTGCTTGTCATTCATTATTATTATCCTAGAATTATTTTTCTTATTTGGGATAAGCCATGATGGGCCATCTCGATAAAAAGCCCAGTGGGAGGTCAGAGCTCTCCCAGTGCCTTTGGGGACAGTACAGTCTAGAGGTCAGATCAGGAAGCCCAGCTTATCAGTCTTTTTACACTTGCTTCCTGTGAACCAGGTACATGGTTGTGATAAGTGATGAGAAAGGTACTTGGAATGGTATTTGGGGGATTCTCCCTGCCTGGCCTGAGGTGGGGGTGACAGTGATGATTCTGGGGGCTGGGATAATAACTCAGTACTCTCCTTTCTCACAGTTGTTTCCTCTCTTTGCTCCTGGTGGCTGCTGTGGTTTGGAAGATCAAACAAAGTTGTTGGGCCTCCAGGCGTAGAGAGGTAAGCCTCAATGGATAAAGGTTCCTGAATGCCTGTCAGTTCTTCCTTTCTCTTTCTCTAAAGCAAGTCCGTTTTAGCTAATTAGTGATAATTTATAGACATACCACAGGGAGACTAATGCTGCCATTTCTGCAGAGTATGGTCAGTAGATTTCGACTAGTGTGATATAAAGTATAATTCTGCACCACATGCTTTTAACTTTCTTTTTTTTTTTTTTTTTAAAGATTTTATTTATTTATTCATGAGAGACACAGAGCATGAGAGAGAGAGGCAGAGACACAGGCAGAGGGAGAAGCAGGCTCCATGCACCGGGAGCCCGACATGGGACTCGATCCCAGGTCTCCAGGATCGTGCCCTGGGCCAAAGGCAGGCGCCAAACCACTGCGCCACCCAGGGATCCCTGCTTTTAACTTTCTAAAAGCGAACTTTAGTATTGACTTATAGCTGCCAGTTCCGCCCATTCTACCAGTGCTCTGTCCTTGGATTAGGCAGATCTGAGGGCTCAGTAGCAGAGTTTTTCATGAGAACGAGAGTAAAATCAGCCAGCTAAACCATCTCTGAAATATCTCATCACGCAAAGATAAATCAGTGTCTAGTCAAGTTTTTTCTTGAGTTTTATTTTTTAATGAGTCTTGATTTATTTCCAGAGCTCTGTTCCTAAAGTGGTATCAATAAGTCAAGCAAATATTTTTATGATTGACCAATCAAATAAATAAACTTGCTTAAAGGTGACAACATAAAATCTTCTTTTTCACAACTTTCACCAGTGTTATTACTCTGCCTTCTAGAGTCCTGTCTGTTGCATTGTTGATAATGGAAGGGCACTGAGCTCTAGGCTGATATATGCTCCTCCGTCTTCTGTATCTATTCTTGCCCTTTTCTATATAAAAATTTATGGACAAGATTTAGAAGAGAACAAGAATATCGCAAATCAAAACTTAGAAGCACACAGCCCTATTCCCTGAATATTAGTGTCTGTAATGAGGTCCTCCTGGAGGTCATGACCCCTTTTCTGACCCATATAAAAGTAATGTTAGCATAAAGGTAATGTTGCATCCTTTTTATTATCGTTTTTAAATTCAGTGGATAACATATTCAGAGGGATTTTTTTTTAAAGATTCATTTATTTATTCATCAGAGACACAAACTGAGAGAGAGGCAGAGACATAGGCAGAGGGAGAAGCAGGCTCCATGCAGGGAGCTCAATGTGGGACTTGATCCTGGGACTCCAGGATCATGACCTGAGCCAAAGGCAGGCAGGTGCCCAAACGCTGAGCCACCCAGGTGTCCCCAGAAGGAATTTTCTAATAGCTCCATTACTAAGACATTTTAAAATCCCAATGAATTGTACAGTATTCTAAAAAAAAGTGGAAGTGATCCAAATAGAGTAAGAAAGAAGTGGGAAGACTCAATAAACATGGCCAGGGAAGGAATTGAAAACTTCTCAGAATATACTCTCTCCACAAAGGGCATTACCCAGGGAGTTTCCATTTGAGATGAGCTTATGGAAATAGTAAGTCTATTTTTCCTTGAGTGCTTAGGAGAATTGTTTATTTCTAAAATACATAAACTGTTCTCAAGTAGGGGAAAAGATGGAAAGCTTAAAAGAGTCCTAATTCATGGTATCCATAGAAACTTTGAATCCCAAACCTGAGAAAAAGCACCAAAAAACAAAGACCAGTCACACAGTGACTTTATGTGGAACAGTTCTAATTTACCAGTGTAATAATGGGATCATTTACTACAGGAAAACCTACAGAATAGGTTATATCAGTGGGTAAAAATAGAACCTAAATTTTTAGTAATAGCCAAGTAATCACTTAGTCATTTGTTGAAATTCAACATCAGTTCCTGGTTTAAAAGCAAAACTCTTGGGATGCCTGGGTGGCTCAGTGGTTGAGGGTCTGCTTTTGGCTCAGGGTGTGATCCCAAGGTCCTGGGATCGAGTCCCACATCAGACTCCCTGTGTCTGTGTCTCTGATTCTCTCTCTGTGTCTCTCATGAATAAATAAATAAAATCATAAATAAATAAATAAATAAATACTCTGTAAACTCAAAAATAATACCTCCTTATTAACACTATAAAGAATATCCAAATAACCAACATCATTCATGATATGAAAACACTAGAAGTTGTACTGACAAAATCAGTATTATGACAGGTTTGTCATAATAAGAGCTGACATTTGAGCATTTCTAAATTCCAGGCACTATTCTTAAAGGTTTTATATAGATTAACTAATTTACTCTTCATAACAAGCTTATGAAATAGGAGGAAACTGAGGCTCAAAGAAGCAGAATAACTTACCCATCATCACACAGTTACTAAGAGACCAAACTGGGCTTTAAACTTGGGACTTTGGTCTTTACAGGCTATGTAAATACAGTCCTGGAGTCCCCATCGTCACTTATTTCTGCTCTGGATATTCTCGGCTGTGCACTCAAAGAAAAAGAAATAAATTTTATTACTATTGAAAAGGAGGCAAAATTATTACTTTCAGATAAGATGATTAAAGCATAGTATAGCAGCAATTTGCATGCATAAAATTAATACTTAAGTAGATCAAAAATAAATCAAGGAAGACAAACAGCTAACTAGAAAATGTTTGCAACATACTTGAAAGAAAATATGAAGAGGATGAATACCTTGTAGAAAAAAGGTTTTTAAAATGTATGCTTATGAATTTAAATGAAATTTTTAAAAGATATTTATTCATTCTATAATAGGAATGGTGAATGTATGGTGAAGGAAATTTTCTTTCTTTTGCCATACCAGAGAGCATGCTTAATTAAATAAGAAGGAAGAATTAGAAGATCCCTACCTCCCAGGGTTATGATAGGCTTTATTTAGGCTCAGTAAGAATAACAATTTCTTCAGCATATTTTTTTAAAGATTTTATTTATTTATTCATGGGAGAGAGAGAGAGGCAGAGACACAGGCAGAGGGAGAAGCAGGCTCCATGCAGGGAGCCTGATATGGGACTCGATCCTAGGTCTCCAGGATCATGTCCTGGGCCGAAGGCAGCGCTAAACCGCTGAGCCACCCAGGCTGCCCAGCATTTTATTTTTTAAATCATTTAAATTTCTTTAAAAATTCCAGATTATACTTCTTTTAAAATTCTCTCCCCACCACCACCAAAAAAAGTAGCTTATGACAGTTGATCAACAAATTAAGCTTTTACCCTTGTGATTTGAAATTTCTGTGAACCCGACTGTTCAGAATATATTTCTACATTTCTACACTGTTAGTCATGTTTATCCCTCTCAGAATTGTAGAAGAAATGACTTAATGAGATTTGTAACAACAAAAATAGTAACAACTAACACTGCTTAAGTGCTTGCTCTATGCCAGGCCCCATTTTACATGTTTGTCCACACATTATCTCATGCACTCTTCGTAAAGGAACTTCCGAACTGGAGGAGCAGAGGTGTTCTGTCCTACTGGGACTCTAGCTCTTGGGGTAGCACAGAACCCAAAGTAGTGTTGCTCCACATATTTGTTGAGTAAATGGACCAACAGTTTGATGAGATCTAGAATGTTGTTATTAGTATTTTAAGAAAATGTTTAACATAAAAATATCCTTCTAAACCAGAGCCATTGTCTACCCAGACTAAGATTCTGTCTCCTACCATGGTTCCACATTGGTGGTTTGCAGGAAGGCCTGGTTGTTTTTCATGGCATGACCTCCAGGCTTCAATGACATGCCTGGATCGCCAATATCCTTAATGATACATGAATGATATAGATTGATCCACCATGTGCTGGGCACTCAGCTGGTTAGTGTCTCCTTTAATCCTAGTAACACAGGTTTAAAAATCCTAATTCAGAGAAGAGGGAACTGAAACCCAGAGACTTTAAACACCTTTCTTAAGGTGACGCAGCTGGAAATTGGATCAAGGATTCACATCCAAGCCTCCCCTAAATCCAAGGCCCCTGCTTGTCCCTCTAACTCTGCCAAACTTCACACTTGTTTGTTTTCAGCTTATACCACCTCTGTGAACAAAGAGCTCTTTCTGTTGCTATCTGCAGTGTCAACATTTGGTTCAGGTTTCAGTAGAAAGAAAGAAGTAGGAAAGGCTTTAATCTAGAAATGAAAATATGAGGAGATAGGGCTACATCATTTATTTTATATATTTAATAAGCAGGCATCATAACATCCTGTCCATCAGTATTTTAGCGTGTATCTCTAACAGGTCAGGTAAGGACTTTCTGATATGATGATAGTGCTGTTATCACATTCAACAAAATTTAGTAGGTCCTAATGTTTTCTGATACCTGGTCTGTGTCCAGTTTTCTCCAGCTATCTCAAAAATATCATTTTGGACTTCTTTGTTTGAACCAGGGAGGATGAGGTACTTTTAATATGTAGTATTCCTTAATAAAATCCCCTCAGCACTCGGTGCGCTAACATTTGCCATATTACCCCATAGCAACTTCTTCGAGAGATGCAGCAGATGGCCAGTCGCCCCTTTGCCTCTGTAAACGTTGCCTTGGAAACAGATGAAGAGCCTCCTGATCTTATTGGAGGGAGTATAAAGGTGAGAATGTGATTCAAAAGCCCCGAAAACTTGTCAGAACTCAGGCTTCTGAGAAACCACAAAGAACAAGAAACTTGTTCCGTTGCCTCATAATTATGTTTTCCTTTCTCTCTTTAACAATAAGGCAACACACTGACGTTGTCAGGTGTTCTTTTGCTTTCATTTTTCAATGTTTCATTCATGTTGTTAAGCATTCCCATGTTCAAGGAATTTTATTTTATTTTATTTTGTTTTATTTTTTTGTTGTTCAAGGAATTTTAATATGTAAATGGTTTGTCTCAAATTCTTGTAAGTATTCTGTGACATAATACTTCAAAACTTGTATTGGAAAAGAGCTAAATTGAATCATTGCTTCTAAGTAGTTTAGGGAATTTTCTTCAATGGGCAAAAATTATAATTCACTCTGCATTCTATGGAATGTAAATATTTCTGACTCCTCCAAAAAAAAAAAAAAGGATGAGGAAAGTGATAAAAGTTTCTATTTTGGCAAAATGATGAAATGTATCAGATACTCTGGGGAAACAGCTTTAGATCCTGAATTTTAAAATACTTACTAATGCATTACTGAGTTCATAGGAAGTAGGTGAAATTCCCAGGGAATACTCTCCTATCCTTCCCCCCAAAAAAGAACAAATCACGAACCAAACCAGAATGATGTGTGATCTGAAGTGGTTCCAGATTGGTAACATACCATGACTCCCAGCTGACATAGGTGCAGATCCTCTCTGTGGGAAAGCTTCCCCAGTTCAGCCATGTAGGATCCCCACCGATTAAGATCAAGCAGTCAGAGATCACCAAGGACAAGAGAGATAAGCCACCAGGAATATGAGTTAGCAGACACTGTGGACAGCCGGTGTAGACAGGACTTCACATGTTAGGGTGTCATCTAATGAGTATAATATAGCTAGCTCTTTATGAAATGTTTGAAGGTGGGAAAGATGGAATCATAAAGATGAGGACACCATGAATCAATGACTAGATCAAAAAAAGAACGAAATGGAATATTTAGGGGCATCTGGCTGGCTCATTCGGTAGAGTACGTGACTCTTGATCTGTGTCATGATTCAAACCCCACGTTGGGTATAAAGATTACTTAAATAAGTAACCTTACCAAAAAAATGGAATATATAGTGGTTAAAATTTCTAAAATAACTCAGTTTACATGCTAAATAAATAGCACATCAGACACTAGTGAAGAGAACTTTTGAACTGGAAGATGAATCTGAAGAAATCACACAGAATGCAGAACAGAGAGACAAGAAGATAAAAAATATGACAGATAAGAATATGGAGAATAAAATGAGAAGACCTAACACGTATTTTATATATACATTGTATGATTGCCACGATGTGAAGAAATTGGAACCCTTGAGCACTGTCAGTGGGAATGTGAAATGTTGGAGCTGCTGTGGAAAACAGTATTGTTCTTCCTCAAAAAAATAAAAACAGAATTACCATATCTTGCAATTCCCCTTCTGGATATATACCTGCAGGAATTGAAAGCCAGGTCTCAAAGATGTATTTGTGCATCCATGTTCACAGCATTATTCACAATAGCTAAAAGATGGGAGCATCCCTAATGTCCATCAGTAGATGAATGGGTATGCCAAATGTGGTCTACACATACAAAGGAATATTATTCAGTGTAAAAAGGAAGGAAATTCTGACACCTGCTACAACATGGATGGACCTTGAGAACATTATGCTAATTGAAATAAGCTAGCCACAAAAAATATATATACTATATGATTCCACTTTTCTGAGTTACCTAATCAAATCCATAATGACAAAGTATAATAGTGGTTATCAGGGGTCGGGGGAGAGGGAAATAGGGAGTCACTATGGGTGTGGGGTTTCAGTTCTGCAAGATGAAAACAATTCTGGAGATGGATGGTGGTGATGGTTGCATAACAGTATGAATCTATTTAATACCTCTGAAGTGGGGATCCCTGGGTGGCGCAGCGGTTTGGCGCCTGCCTTTGGCCCAGGGCACGATCCTGGAGACCCGGGATCGAATCCCACGTCAGGCTCCCGGTGCATGGAGCCTGCTTCTCCCTCTGCCTATGTCTCTACCTCTCTCTCTCTGTGTGTGACTATCATAAATAAATAAAAATTAAAAAAAAAATAATAATACCTCTGAAGTGTACACCTTAAAAGGGTTTAGGGAGGTAAATGTTATTATGTGTGTTGACTACATTTAAAAAAATAACTGGGGAAAAAAAGAAATCACCTAAAGGAAATGACAAAGCAACAGCTGACTTCTCATTAGTAACACCAGAAGCCAAAAGAGTTTGGAAGAATGTCTCCAGATGACATCAAGAGAACTGCCAGCCTTGAACATCAGGCCCAGTAACTGTCTCCTAAAAACAAGGACAGAAGGAAGATTTTGAAAGCTTATAAGAGAAATGTCTATAGGATGTGTTAAAGAAAAACTAGCCAGGAGAATGGAGTGAGGTATAAGAAGGAATAGCAAGACAATGAAATGGTAAGCACATAAGGAATCTAGCAAACATGATAAAATAACAATTTGTAGGATTAAAAAAAATAGACAAATCTGAAGTACTAAGCAGCACCATACGTCCTATGTTAATAGCCCAGTATGACCCAGTTGGTTACTCTTTCAAACACTTTCTTGACTGTCCTTCCAGGACACCACACACTCTCACTCTCTGGCTGCTCAACCTTCTCCATCTCCCCACACCTCTAGAGATGGCTTAGTCTTTGGGCCTCCTCTCACATCTTTTATGCCCACTACTCCAGTGACTGTCTTAGTCTGTTTGAGCTGCTATGACAAAGTGCCAGAGACTGGGTATCGTAGAAACAACAGAAATTTCTCACAATCCTCAAGGCTAGGAAGTCCAGGATTGAGGTGCTGGCAGATTCATCGTCTGATCAGAGCCGCCTTCCTGGTTCGTAGACGGTGCTTTCTTGCTCTGCCCTTATATGCCGGAGGGCAGGGAGCTCTGTAGGGTCCCTTTTATGAGGGCACTAATCACCTCTTAAAGGGCTCACCTCCAGATATCATCCTATTGGGCATTCAGATGTAACATACAGATTTTAGAAGGACACATTCAGACCACAGAAGTGATCTTTTCCATCATGGGTTTATTTTAACACCATGATCTCTCCGCTCAGACATCTCCTGTGACCCTTTCACTCCTATATCCAATTGCTTGTTTACTTGTGCCCCCACATGGATGTCTCAGCATCCAAAGCTGAGCTCTGGATATTATCCCCTATACCTCTCCGTGGCATATCCCCCCCAACTAGGTATCTCATCCTAGCCACTCAGGCAAAAGTCCTGGAGCTGAACTTAGTCTGCACTTGTTCTCATTCTCTTTACATCAGCATGGCTTTGGCTCTGTCTTCAACCTCCGTTGCTGTCACCACACTGATCTAGGTCACAGTCCTCTCACCTGCCCCGTCCTTCCCTCTGTTGTAGCCACAGAGGTTCCAGAAGTCATTTTCTTCAAGCAGATTGAAGAAATGAATGACATATTTGGGGGTATGGCAGGCAGAATTCTAAAGATGGCCAAGATTCCCAGCTCATGGTTTTTCAGTCAAACACTACTCTAGGTGCTTCTTTATATAAAGGGATTGGACAGAAGTAATACAAATCCCAAGACAGCAGAAACCTTAAGATACCGAGGGATTTTCCCTGGCTGGTGGCAGAAGAGGAAACATGAGAAGACTTGGTACGCTTGCACGGATTGGAAGCTGGAGGGGCCATAGGAGGAAGCCTCTGGGAAAGAGTGGCTCCCTGCAGACCACTAGGAAGGAAATGGGAACCTTAGACCCACATCAAGGAACTGATTCTGCTGCCCTCCCTGAGGCCTCTTTTTTTTTTCCCCCTGAGGCCTCTTGAATAAGTTTTGAACAGATTCTTCCCTAGAGCCTCCAGATAAGAGCTGGCCCCAAGGCTGACTTGACCAAGTCCACCTGTGAAATTAAGAATGGATGGAAGAAATGAACAAACCTGTATCTGTAAGCAGGAACCCTCAGAGCTCGCCTGGATTTCTGACCTGCCGAACTGAGATAGATAATAAATAGGTGCTGTTTTGCAACTAAGTTAGTAATTTGTTTATTTGTTCTGTGCTACACAGCAATAGAAACTCATAGAGGGCATCTTTAAAAATCACATGTGAAGGCTGCATCATTAACACTGGAGAAGCTCCACCTTAGGTAACTCTTTGTTTTATTCCACCAGACTGTTCCCAAACCCATTGCCCTGGAACCGTGTTTTGGCAACAAAGCTGCTGTCCTTTCTGTGTTTGTGAGGCTTCCTCGAGGGCTCGGTGGAATCCCTCCTCCTGGACAGTCAGGTGAGTAGATGAGGGCCAGTGACAAACTAGACTTGCGAACTTGGGTGTAGAAGTGGTAGTGAACCATAGGCACGTGCCTGCCTTGTGTCATTGTAAGGATTCAGGGAGACGATCCCATTGTCCCTTGTGTTCCCTGAACTGTCTATCCTGAGGCCATGATTCCTTCCCAGGGAGGAGCTCAGAGCTCCCCTCCCTGCACTGGCTCCCACACCCTCCTGGTGGCGTTGATACTTCTAGCCACACCTTCCCTTGCTGCTGCTTTTCCTCAGCTCTGGCTCTGCCGCCCCTTCCCTGTCTCTTCTCCCTTCCTCAGGGCTTCTCCCCTCCATCCATATCCTCTTCCACAGTTATCTTACCTGCTCTTGTGGCTCCCTGCTAGCTCCTCCAAGCTGGCCACTCTCAAATTGGCATTTCCAGCCTTATGAAATTTCTTTTGCTTTTTCGCTCTGTTTTAAATATAAGGCACAAACTGCAGTTATAATAATTTAAGGGAAGTCTTGGAAATGTACTCACAGTCCTATCATCCCGCACTCGCCAGTGTTCATTGTTTTTTCCTTTCTAGCCCTGGCCAGCAGCTTTGTTGAAATTATTGTATAGATCTCATTTTTATTCTTTTTTCATAAAACTGTCATAAACATGTTTGCAGTTTACTATGTAACACTTTACCAGTGTCTTTCATGCAATTCCATCAGGTACACAAATCATAATTTTGACAAACATCCTCTTATCAAACACTAAGGAGATATGGAATACAGTTGTGGAAATATTAATTCCGATTAATCATGGAGTACTTTGGAGGGATGCTTCAGACAAGATGCACAATATGTTTTAGACAGCTTTCAGTTGAAACAATTCTGGGGGTCAGGGTTGCCTTGGCTAAAGAAAGCCCTGTGTCTATGATAAAGTGTGTCCCAGAATCCTTGCCTAGCTCCTGAGCTCCATAGCCCCCTAAGTGCAGCCCTCAGGTTCAGAGCCACCTCCAGTTGAGCTTTCTTTTTTTTTTTTTTTTATAAATTAATTTTTATTGGTGTTCAATTTACCAACATACAGAATAACACCCAGTGCTCATCCCGTCAAGTGTACCCCTCAGTGCCCGTCACCCATTCACCCCCACCCCCCACCCTCCTCCCCCTCCACCACCCCTAGTTCATTTCCCAGAGTTAGAAGTCTTTATGTTCTGTCTCCCTTTCTGATATTTCTCACACATTTCTTCTCCCTTCCCTTATATTCCCTTTCACTATTATTCATATTCCCCAAATGAATGAGAACATACACTGTTTGTCCTTCTCCGGTTACTGTGGCTAAATTCAAAAAGGGTGTTGCCTGAGTTCTCCTCTGGGATTTTGATGGAATCTTGTCTCACATTTAGATCTTTCATCTATTTTGAGTTTATCTTTGTGTATGGTGCAAGAGAGTGGTCCAGTTTCATTCTTCTGCATGTGGATGTCCAATTTTCCCAGCACCATTTATTGAAGAGAGTGTCTTTCTTCCAGTGGATCGTCTTTCCTCCTTTATCGTATATTAGTTGAGCTTAAAGTTCAGGGTCCACTTCTGGGTTCTCTGTTCTGTTCCATTGATCTATATGTCTGTTTTTGTGCCAGTACCACACTGTCTTGATGAACACAGCTTTGAGGTATAACCTGAAATCTGGCATTGTGATGCCCCCAGATATGGTTTTCTTTTTTTTAAAATTCCCCTGGCTGTTTGGGGTCTTTTCTGATTCCACACAAATCTTAAAATAATTTGTTCTAAGTCTCTGAAGAAAGTCCATGGTATTTTGATAGGGATTGCATTATACGTGTAAATTGCCCTGGGTAACATTGACATTTTCACAATATTAATTCTGCCAATCCATGAGCATGGAATATTTTTCCATCTCTTTGTGTCTTCCTCAATTTCTTTCAGAAGTGTTCTGTAGTTTTTAGGGTATATTTTGAGAACCATTTGAATGGTAAATGGTTCTCCAACCTTTTATTTTCAGGTTGTAGGTGTCCTTCTGTCTAAAATGAGTCTCTTGTAGACAGCAAATAGATGGGTCCTGTTTTTTTATCCAGTCTGAAACTCTGCGCCTTTTGATGGGGTCATTAAGCCCATTCACGTTCAGAGTTACTATTGACAGATATGAGTTTAGTATCATCATGATATCTATTTAGTCCTTGTTTTTGTGGATTGTTCCACTGAACTTCTTCTTAAAGGGGAGTTTTAAGAGTCCCCCTTAAAATTTTTTGCAGAGCTGGTTTGGAGGTCACATATTCTTTCAGTTCCTGCCTGTCTTGGAAGCTCTTTATCTCTCCTTCCATTTTGAATGAGAGCCTTGCTGGATAGAGTATTCTTGGTTGCATGTTCTTCTCATTTAGGACCCTGAATATATCCTGCCAGCCCTTTCTGGCCTGCCACGTCTCTGTGGAGAGGTCTGCTGTTACCCTAATATTCCTCCCCATGAAAGTCAGGGACTTCTTGTCTCTTGCTGCTTTAAGGATCTTCTCTTTATCTTTGGAATTTGCAAGCTTCACTATTAGATGTCGAGGTGTTGAACGTTTTTTATTGATTTTAGGGGGCGATCTCTCTATTTCCTGGATCTGAATGCCTGTTTCCCTTCCCAGATTGGGAAAGTTTTCAGCTAGGATTTGTTCAAATACATATTCTGGCCCTCTGTCCCTTTCGGCGCCCTCGGGAACCCCAATTAAACGTAGGTTTTTCTTCCTCAAATTGTCATTTATTTGCCTTAATCTGTCTTCATGGTCCCTTAATTGATTGTCTCTTTTTTCCTCAGTTTCCCTCTTTGCCATTAACTTGTCTTCTATGTCACTCACTCGTTCTTCCACCTCGTTAACCCTCGTCGTTAGGACTTCTAGTTTGGATTGCATCTCATTCAATTGATTTTTAATTTCTGCCTGATTGGATCTAAATTCTGCAGTCATGAAGTCTCGTGAGTCCTTAATGCTTTTTTCTAGAGCCACCAGTAGCTGTAGAATAGTGCTTCTGAATTGGCTTTCTGACATTGAAGTGTAATCCAGATTTTGTAACTCTGTGGGAGCGAGGGCTGTTTCTGATTCTTTCTTTTGAGGTGAGGTTTTCCTTCTAGTCATTTTGCTCAGTGCAGAGTGGCCAAAAACAAGTTGTATTGGAACACGGGGGAGTATCACTGGTCCGTCCAGCTGGTCTTCTGGGGGAGGGGCCTGCTGTGCTGATTTTCAGGTGTTAGCACTTGGGGGAGCTGCTCTGCCCCTGCCTGCTGCAGGGCTCAGCGGGGGTTGTTTACCCCGTGAGGTCTCAGGAGGAACAGTTGCAGTTGCTATGGCAACTCTGGAAGCCTGGATTCAGCCTCCGCAGGAACTACGGGGCTCGGGGCTCTCGGTTCTCCGTCTGCAGGGCCTGGAGGCTCCGGGGCGGGGCCGCTGATCTGCTCAGCTCGGGGCAGGAGCGTCCTCGCTGTCCTGGGCCCTCCCGGCCTCTGCCTGTCCCGGGGGAGGCCGGATCCTGGGCTGTGTCCCGGCGCCCTGTGCTCCGGGGCCTGCGCTGGTGGATTCGCGCTCCCTCCCCGCAGCCCCCTCCGCGGAGCCGCCGCCCGAGCCCCTCCGAGCTGCTCCGGCCCCGCCGTGCGCGCTGCAGCCCTTAGGGAGCTCGGCGCACTCTCCCGGGGCGCAGGTGCCTGTTAGTGTCCCCGGGAGCCCGAGGGCATCCCCGCCCTCCTGGGTCCTGCTCCAACTCCCTGCGAGCCCCTTTCCGCCCGCCCGGGAAGGTTGGTGCAGCTCCTGCTCCTCCGGGACGGGGCTCTCCTGTCCTGGGGACACTCGCCCCGGCCTCAGCCCGGCTCCTCGCGGGGCCCCTCCCCCTCGGAGGCCTTTTGTTCCTTTATTTCTTTTTCCCCCGTCTTCCTACCTTGATAGAAGCGCGGACTCTTCTCACTGTAGCGTTCCAGCTGGTCTCTCTTTAAATCTCAGGCCGAATTCGTAAATTTTCAGGATGGTTTGAAGGTTATCTAGGTAATTTGGTGGGGACAGGTGATGTGAGGACCCTGCTCTTCCGCCATCTTGCCCCGCCCCAGTTGAGCTTTCTAAATGACTTCTGGGTCCTCATGAGGAGGCCTTTAGGCTTGGCCAAGCCAGCCTTTATTGTCTTCATTTCCTAGGGGAACAACTTGATTTGCCTTCACCTAGGGATAGGAGTTCAGCTCCTAACTCAGCCTTACCCATGTTGAGGGCAGAATGACCCACTGACCTGAACTCTGGGACATTGTCTCCTGCCACTTCCCAGCTCAGCAAACTTGGCCTGTGCTCCCTGAGAGCAAGGCCCTGGCTAGAATTAGGAAAGCGGCCTTTCCTGCCCTGCCCTTTGCCTGATTGCCCCATCCCCTTCAATTCCTGATGAAGACCTGCTCACTGCATCCCTTTTACCTCTTCTGTACCCTATTTTAGGTGGCCCTTCCTCTGGACTCCCAGAACACCTGGCTCTGCCTTTGCTCTACAGTGTCACTGATATGGATTCCCCACTTGCCCCATTCCTCCATTTTATAGGCTCAATGCAGTGGAGTAACAAGCGTACTAACCCAGCTCCTGAGAACCTTAGCAGGGCTCTCAGCCTCCACTGGCTTGCTCACGTGTGTTGAGGATCCAGCTCCCCCAGAAATGTGCCTTCCCCAAGGGACATTTGGTATTATTTTTAAGGTAGAACCTAGCATTTTATTTAGATATGCATTAAACTGTTGGAATTGAGAACCAGACATACGTAATAAACCTCCAAAAATAGATCCTAAAATGCACTTTCTGCTTAGGGCAAGCAGTCATGGAATAAGCATGTAAACAAGCTGGCTTCTCTGTACCACACCAGCCAAGTCCGCTTTCTCCATGGCCAGCCACACCAGCTCTGCCCTCCTTCTGTTAACACCAGCCAGACCCCCTGTAGGTCTAACCCAGGTTTTTCTGTAGGACACCTTGGCCTAACTGGGAATGCTGGAAACATGTTGTTAAAGGAATCATGGTATTGAGGGGGAAAAAAAAATTTTTTTAAAGCTGCCATCTGAGGTGATGGCTTCTCTGTACTTATGCCATACCCCAGAACACCCAAGTTAATCAGTTCCTAGTACAAAAGGGAGAATGGAACCACTTGTCCCTAAGGCAGAGGTGGTGGAGGTGGGGAGGTGATGAGCCAAATACCATTCTAAGGTTTTTACATGGATTCATTCAGTGACTCCTTCCACATGCCCTCTACTGTTACTGCGCCCGTTTTACAAATGAAGAAACGGAGGTATGGTATGGTATGGTTAAAGAACCTTGCTTATTCCAAAGCCTGGCCCCAGAGTCTGTCCTAACCTGCGTCACAGGATAGATACAAAAATAACTAGTGCTGGCTGAGTGATGAGGAAAGAATCTGAATTTACTTATAAAGAGTGCTGCTTTTTCTTGGCACCCTTTTGGAGACCCACAGGAAAAATTTAGCACTTAGAGCGTGACTGCAATCTTATTTAAATGCTCCAACTGCCAGGCAGAGCTCTTTGCTTCATTGATCCGCTGAACAGCAAGCTTACACATCTTTTGTGTAAAAAGTAGGGGAGGGAATAAGAATACATATTTGTATTTGCATCAGTAAACCCTGAAAGAATATATACAAATGGCTGAAAGCATTAGTGGGTGGAGGGAGGGACAACGTGGAAGGGAGACTTTTCCTCTGTATACTTACTGATTTGCTCATTGCACCCCGGGAATGTAAAAAAGTTTTTTGGAATTATTTTTAAACATAAAGCAAACTGCTCCTTACCACATGTTCCCTGTGGGCTTTCCCCCAGGTCTTGCAGTGGCCAGCGCCCTGGTGGACATTTCTCAGCAGATGCCAATAGTGTACAAAGAGAAGTCAGGAGGCGTGAGAAACCGGAAGCAGCAGCCCCCTGCACAGCCCGGGACCTGCATTTGAGGCTGGGCTGGGAACTGTCCAGGAGCGAGCCAGGTGCGGCGTGCCAGCGCCGTCTGCAAGGAGGGGGCAGGCGGGGAGATGCTGTGCGGAGCGGGCCGAAGACTGGAAACCCTCGAAACATCCGACTCCTCTGCATGTCCACAAGCTTTCTTTGCCGGTTTCTCCCATCTGTGCTCCAGCATCTAACCTTTTACTTTTGCATAGGAAATAATTGATTTAGTTGCAGGTCCAGGGGTGATCCAGTTTTGCTGGAGGAGGCCGGGGTAGAGCAAGTGAGAGAGCTGGAATGACACTCAGGTTCACTTGTGGAAAACCGTTCTTGGGGCCGTCTCAACTTGGCAAAAAACAAAAGATGTTGTGTTTACAAGTAGACATTCACTACCAGTCGTTCTTGAACATGGTCTTTTAAAAACTAGTCAGATGAATGAATTTGTTCTCATCTGAAGCCTGCTATCTTTTTTAAAAGATGTGCTACTTATTCTTGCACAATGTAGGCAAATCTCTCTCTTGCAGGGAGTAGCTTTTTTCTAGTTGAGAATTAATAATGGTCCATCTCTTTTGAATCATATCAAATTAAGGTAGAAGGGGGCTATTTTAAATGTCAAGGTCAGCAGTGTTACTTAGAATGTAAAATGATGTAATAGGTAGTTTTCTATAGCAACTTAATTAATTTAGTCTTAATCCATTTGAAATCCTTTCTCTCTTTTCCTCTCTCTCTCTCTCTCTCTCTCTCTCTCACACACACACACACACACACACACACACACTAAGTGCCTAGACTTGAAATAGATCTAGCAATTGAAAAGTTAGTAAGCCTAAGTTTTCCATAATTGCATTCCTACATTCATATAAAATTTAAATAGCTACCATTGGCAATCTGCTCTTTTTATAAAATCTAATTTGCAGCCAGGAAAGAATTTTCTCACCCCAGAGAACATTTAACCTAGCAGCAGGCAATGAGAGGAAAGAAGAAATGACCAAACTGTGAAAGCTCCTGTCTGTTGTCAAAAGAAGCACTAAATAAGGTGTGGTCCTCGTGGGCCCCCTGCCCCCCACTGCAGGCCTGACATTTGCTCCAGCCCATCTGGCCACTCCCGCCAGGACACCACAGTGGAAGGGACTTGTTCATGTTACATATCTCCCTTGAGCAGAAAAGAGCATGACAGCACTTGGAATCCCTGCATCAAAGAGCAACAGTGTGCTCCTGTAGAGTGCTCTGAGCTGCTGGGTCATCCTCAGGCTGCAGGGGGAATCTTACACCCAAAGCCTGAAGAAGGACCTGGAACCGTTTCCTCTGCTCTCCTCTAGGAGAGGCTCAGCTAGGCTCTCCCATCCTCCTTCCCAGACCGGGTGGAGCAGGACAGTTACCACTGAGAAGGATGAAGAGCACACAGATAAAATGGAGGAGGAGGAATAACTATGCTAAGGAGAAGGTGACCAAGTTTAAGTGGAGTAGGGCGATCCTGCTCTTCTCTCCAGGGCACTACCTGGGTGTCATGGTGTCCCTGTGTATGGTGCTCTGTGTTCTGGCAGGATGCGGCAGCCTCCCCAGGTCTCTCTTCTGCTTCAAAACTTGGGGTTTTCTGGCACTGCCCTGTAGGGCCTCTACACAACCATGCTTGTTTGTCAGTTTGGAGAATTAATACTCTAAAGAGCAAAGCCTGCAACATTTCACCTTTAAATGCAGTGCCTATGGTAGGAACATTGTCTCCTTCCCAACACCAACCCCTCACCCATGAAGAGTTGCCTGGAAAGATGTTGAAACCCTAAAGTTGAAATTTGAACCCTAAAACACTGTCTGATGCATAAAACATCTCTACTTTGAGACTCACCTCTCAAAAAGCTGCTTTTTCACATCATTGGCAAAGAGCAGACAATTCTAGAAAAGACCCCTTCTCTTCCAAGCTTCCCACATCCCTGCCCCACATCACGGCACCCACAGAGAGCCTGCCACAGACTGGCACTGTACCCCTGTAATTGCCATGAGGCCTCTTGCCAGAGAGAGGGAGGCCACTGGAGAGGGACCTCCCACAAGGAAAATCCTTGTTTGTTCAAAGGATCAGTGTTTCTTTGGCCAAATAAGTCTCTTCCCCATGGGTTCCCAGGCCTTGAAATAACATGCACCATGTCCCATAGCCACCTGGTTTTGTTTTGTTTTGTTTTTCCTAAAAGACAGTTTATTTTTTAAAAGGAAGGAAAAAAGGAGCAAGTGATGTTTAATTCTCCCAACAGTGAAGAAACAGCCAAATCCACCTGCTTCTCCTTTGCAGCCAATAGACAGCTTCCTCCAGGCCCAGGCCAGAGGAAGAGAGTGGCAGGAAAGAGAGGCATTCAGTTTAGGAGCCAGTTACCAAGAGGGCATCATCTGGAACTTCAGAGGAATACCTGTGGGTCACAGGAGAGCCTGTATATAAGTTAAAATAGTCATGAAAACATTGATGTTGCACTTGTACATAATTATACAGTAGTGTCCAGAATGTTCAGACATTCAGAGTGTACATAAAACAGAAAACTATGTTAAGGTATTTTTATTAAACGTAATGGTGTCTGAGTTTTACCTAATATGTCTTTGTGCCACATACCGGATATCCAAGTGTGAAGAAGTCCTCTCATTGGGCCCTGATTGATAACAAAGCCAGAAAAAGGCATCCCCAGTGTGTCCAAATGCATCTGGTATGAGTTGGTTGACTCCAAAACAGAAATCAGCTATCAGTACACAGGGGAGAAATTGGGCATTGAGCCCATTTAAACAGCATTGTGTGAGGAGAATTGAAGGCAGTAGGCATGTCGCTGGCACTGTTGTTGGCTCTGCAAGTGAGTCGTAAGTCTTTCTTTTAGCCTCTTGGTGCTGTGCATGGCCAGGGATGACCAATCTTGTCCTGAGATGTGTTTCTCTTAGTCTCTAAGTTCAAAGACTGTGTCAGATTTTCCAGAAAGGGGTTTTCCAGGCTGCTTTTTGTTCCATTTGGTCTAGAATTGTAATGACCATTTCCCAGGACTGTGGTTTCCATACTGAAAACCAGGGGTGGGAGTAGGGTGGCTAGTTCATTGACAGGTAGCTCCCATTTCCTCCTTGAGAACCACACACACCCTCACCTCCTGTCCACCCCCAACTCGTGATCCTACACACACACACTGTGGGGGAACTTCTGCACTTCCTGTGAGATCACCTCTAAAAGATGGGAGGAGACATGGAGAAAAGGCAACCTATACTCCCCTGAGCTAACCCAGAGGAAAAGTAGCCCTGGACAGAAGACGGTCAGCAACAGGAAAACAACTTCCATGGGTGAGGCCTGAAGCGCCAGATTGGAGATGCACCTCAAAGTCTGGAGCTAACATGTGAGAAAGCCAGAGCACTCTGTAGAAAAAAGACGTTCCCATCTTAGTGCAACTTGCTCCGTCGTCCCACAGAGTGTATCTGGGGAGGGCGTGGGGATTCACTTCCTTGGGTGCTGGTGTCATTTTCAAGACCACCTTTGATCCTTTAATTTCTGTCATCCATCCACACACAATGAATACTCACTAAGCACTTACTAACAACCTAAGCTAATGCTAGAGTGGTGACCAAGATGGAAAAGAAGCTCTTTGGAATTAACAGCAAAACCCAGCTTGAGCCCCTCATCCCAAGAGACCTTTCTTTCCTCGTGGTGGTTTCTGTGAGAAGTGGCCACCCCGAGGACAGACCCAGGAAGGTGGAGGGTCTGTCCTCGGGCCATGCACCAGCTCTCTGTCTGAAACGTTTGCCCAATTTACCAAACTCGGCTCCAACCATAAATATCACCGTGATGGCAGGCCCGCCAAGAGACATTTGCCCGGATTCGTTCAAACTCCTAACTACCCTTACCTGCAGAGAGATGATGTGGAGCAGAGAGGAGAACTGGCGCGCCTTCTCTTTCAAAGGCAATAATGGAATCGACTTTCAGTAACTGAAATTTGTGCACAAAACATTCTAAACACTAGTGAAGCCTGTTTTGTTGAACTAATTCTGGCTCTGGAAATGTTTTTGTTTTATAGGTATTTACGGTTTTTGTTTTTATTTTTGGTTTGGATTCAAGCTTAGTTTGTTAATATGTATAATTTAGCATCTATTGCACTCATGTAAATATGGAGTAAGTATTGTAAACTATTTCATTGCTGGGGACTGTGGATGTTATACATACATTTAGGACTGCAATTTTTTGGTATTTTTTGTATTGTAAAATAACAGCTAATTTAAGCAGGAACAAGAGAATTAAGGGAGGTCTGTGCATTTTAAACACAAATGTGAAGAACTTGTATATAAACAAAAGTAAATACTATAATACAAACTTCCTTCTGAAATAAAAGTAGATCTGGTAAAAATGTGGTTTATGCTTTGGGTGTTTAATTTTGATTGTGTTTCATTTGTGTTTACTGTTTGCTCATTAGACCCTTAAGGGAAAAAAATTTTTAAATGGTTACCAGTTTTCAAACTGTCCATGAGTAAGCACTTGACATTTGGTGAAGGGCAAGGTATAAAACCAGTAGGGTAGGCACCTCGGCTGCCTCGTGGGGTAGAGAGAGCTTTCCTTGCACAGCTTGTGAGCAGACTCCCGGTGTCCCCACGGTGGCCTGTGTTGCCCTTGAAATGACAGTGCTGGGGAGGGAGACAGGTGTGTACAGCAGCTCTACCCTGGCATGGGGAGGGTTCCCCAGGGTGGGGAGGGTTCCCCAGGGTGGGGGTGGGGTGGGGCAGGGCACAGCCTGGGCTGAGACCCAAACCACCCAGCTGCTCTAGCTCTTTCACCTTGTCCTAGCCTGCATTTCTAAATGTTTAGGTTTTCCAGACTGCTAAATCTCAGGTATACTGATAGGTTGAGTACTCCATGGCCACAGTGTTGTCCTTGGTTTTGAGTTTTTGGTGTTCTTGCCACCCACAAAGCTTTGTCTGCAGGTGCAGTTCCTGCACTTGGAGCAGGGTCAGAACAGCGCTTCAGGGCCCTGGTGTGAAGTGCAGGAACCGTAGAAGGACGAGATGGGCATAAGGGGTTCAAATGCCATGGTTCATGTAGGGGAGGGAGGCTGGGGCACCACGTCTGGCCGACCCACCAGTGCTTGGGACTGGGCTGGAGAGGTCAGTGGTTGGGCTGATGGCCACTGCCAGGTGCCATGAAACTGTTCTGGGGAGAGGGCTGTGGGAGCCACCAACTGCTTGAGACAGGACAAAACCTGTTGAGTGTGTGGTTTGTGGCAGAGACAACACCATATGTTCACCAAACCTGCTAGATTTTGCCACTGGACACACAGGTTAGGTGGGGAGCCCTAAACTGAGCTGCGGCCAAAGGAGTGTTGGAAGAAGTTATGGACACCAGTTCCAAACTTGGCCCACACGGTGCCCCCGCGTGGGACTCCCTGGAGGTCAGGTGCCGACGATGTAGGAAGGTGCGCAGGTCCCTGAATCACCAATCGGAGACAAGCTGCACATCAGCAGAGCTGTGTGCTGGTCTTTGCCTCACTGAAAGGAAACGTCTACTCTAACTGACCCACCGAGATTTGGGGCTTTATTACAAGTGGCTTTTCTTACTCTCACTAATACACAAATTGGTACCCTGAAGCATACTGCATCCGTAACCAAAACCTAAACTGCATGGCTTTGGCTTAGGTCTCAGCCAGGTGGCAGCCAGGGAGCAAACAGATGGCAACAGCAGAACAGCTGGGATCCCTGACAGGCAGTGGCGAGACATCTGCTGAGTCTGTTCAAGTTTGACACCTTGGAAAGTAGTCTATGTGTCTACTGAGTTCTCAGTTCAGAAGGAAGATCAAAAAAAAAAAAAAAAACAGAATTGCATATGTTATTATTGGCCGCCTTTGGCCAGGCATCACAAGAAGAGTTGACTTCCAGAAAGAATTAGCTGTTTCACAAGCCACAAGCCGAAGGGAAAGGGATGGAGAATCTGGAAATCCAGGGTCTTGCAGGGGTTGGGGTGGGGGGGGGTGCTCATGATCCAGAGACCCAGTAAGCCTGGGGGCCTCCCTCAGGTGTGGGAATCAGGTGGAGGGAGGGTGTGGGCTTCCTGCCTGCTCCTCAGAACCTCCAGGCCAGCATCTGGGAGGGAGGGGCATGTGGATGAGGAAGCCAAGACAGCCAACCTGAGGACTGCATCCAGGAAAGAACCAGGAATGTCACCACTGACCCTGAATCTGCCTGGGAAAGAAATACAAAGTGTAGGTTTGGGGATCCCTTGGGTGGCGCAGCTAAGTGTCCATTTCTTGATTTTGGCTCAGGTCATGATCTCAGGATCATGAGATAGAGCCCCAAGGCAGGTTCCCTGTACAGCCAGGAGTCTGTTTCTCTCTCTCTCCCTCTGCCCCTCCTCCCCATTCTCTCTCTAAAATAAGTAGCTATATCTTTTTTTTTTAAGTGTAGTTTTTTGAGAGAATTATGTTGCCAAAGAAGCAAATTAGTCTGACCTCTAAAAATGTAAACAACTGAACAACACTGTGCCTATTGGAGGAGCCTTCATTAGAACGACCTGCAGGTAGGAGGTAGTTGTGCAGGTGTGTCTGAGGGCGCACACCCCCAGTACCTCAACAATGGATTTGAGCCTTTTCAAGAACTTCTCCCACCCCAAGGCTTTCAGAATCGCTGTTATGTCTGCCATCCCCCTCCTCCCTGCATGAGGGTGTCCTTCCCAGTCAGGCCACTGTGTGCTGGCCAAACATTGCATAGGGACCAAGGATTTCAGTGAATGAAACAAACTAAAATCCCCATCCCTGTTGGGGAGACAGGTAATGTACACAATGTCAGATGGTAAGTTCTTTGAAAGTATGAATGAGGTAGGGGCAGAAAGTGCAGGGTGGGGACTAGGGGGAGAAGGATTGCTCCTCTACTAGTGGGGCGGGGGAAGGCCAGTCCGACAGGTAACAGCTGAGCAGAGAGCTGAATGAAGGTGGGAGCCAGCACATTGATGTCTGGGAGAAGAGCAATCAAAAGTAGAGCAGCGGGTGCAGAGGCCTAGAGGAAGAGAATGCCTGGTGGGTCTGAGCTGTTCCAAAGCTGCTGGAGTGGCAAAAACAAAATGGGCTGCCGTAACAGTCCTGGGAGTCGGGCCCGTGGAGGGCATAGTTCTCAACTGGCACAGGACTACCTCCTGGGGACATTTGGGGAGTAGGTAGGGGCCATGTTGGTTATTGTGTTGCAGAGGGAGGTGCTGCTGTGACTTAGTGGGTGAGCCTGAAGATGGTCAACCTGTGACACATGGGATTGTCCCACCTAATTACTGACCCACCTCCCACTAGATTTTAAAGCCTCTTGCTGAGTATTTGTGCAGATGAAAATCTGTTCCTGGGGCACTTGGGTGGTTCAGTGGTTGAGCATCTGCCCTCGGCTCAGGGCGAGATCCCATTGGGATCAAGTCCCGCATAGGGCCCCCGCAGGAAGCCTGCTTCTCCCTCTGCCTATGTCTCTGCCTCTCTATGTGTGTCTCTCATGAATAAATAAAATCTTTTTTAAAAAATCACTTCCTAAGTATTTTAGTGTGGAACCCAGCCCTGTTACAAAGATTTGAGAGCTGGTTTGATACAGTTTTCCAGAAATGTGTAAATCAAGAGAAAACCAAACTGTTTCCTTCAAAACTTTATGCAGAGCTGATCATCATTTTGGAAAATTCACCAATGGCACTCTCATTCCTGGATCTGAGTCCCCAGCCCCATCCACACATGCGTGTGGGTTTCATATGAACAGACACACCCTGCAGTCTCATGTTACTAATTGTGTAACATGCCTGACAGGAGTCCCCTCCCATCCTGTGTTGCCAACACAAGAAAGGGACTAGACCACATGACCTGCTGACGGTATGAAACGTACTGCACAGGGAGCTGGGGACAGCCTGGCTCAGAACCCATTTGCACACCCAGTAGGCCCTTCCTCATTTGCTTCATCCTGATCCTTTGAGGGCTCAGATTCTGAGGTCCTATATTTTGCTCTGGCATGTACTCATCTTAAGTGTTCTCTCTGTATCTTCTGCCTTGGATTGGAGGTTCTTTTGGGTGTGGGGTGACATGTTCTTGGCAGAACAGCTTCCCAAGATATCCTTCAACTCAGGCCTTCCGGGGCCTGCAGTCCAGCAAGACAGGGCCACAGCTCTGTGCTATATGTGCTGGGCTCATTGGCAAGTTGCTCTCCAGCTGGGGGATGTCTCCTGAAGCCCCACGTGGCCCCTGTCCTCCTGCTACTCTGGAAATCTCATCTAACAATACCCACACTTCCTATAAAACTGAGCTACTGCTGATTCAACTGTGGGGCAGAGAGGGGTGATTTCTTATCAACCTTACACCTAGACAACAGGCCCTAAGCCAGAGTGGACATTCATGACCCGTGAAGTTTCCACCAATAAATCCATGGATGCTTCCAGCACCTGCCTTTCTGCCCGACTCCCCTACCCCCACCCCCACCCCCCAGCCACCTGCCAGCTAGAGGCTCAATGTTGACAAGAGCTGGTGGAGGCCCAGTCACAGGGATGAAGCCAGGGCTGGACTGTAGCATCCCCGAGTGCATATGAGAGCGTGACACCAAGCAGGCTACCTGGAAGCACATGGAGGCCAACACTCAAATGCAGATGACAGGGCAGGACCTGTTCCTGGTTATGGGGCCCACAGTGGGACAGCCTTGCAGTGTTGGGCCAGACTTAACACCATGTATGAGCCAGACCTTCTCAGGTGAAACTCCAACAACTCTTGGCTACCTAGGGCTAGAGTAACAAATTCCCCAACCTTGATGGCTTAAAACAGAAATTTCTTCTCACAGTTCTAGAGACCAAAACTCCAGAATCCCAGTGTTGGCAGGCCTACACTCCCCCAGAAGCTCTGGGGAGAACACACTCCCAGCTGCTTCTAGCTTCTGGTGGCCACCGGCACTCCTGTCTCTGCTCTGTCTTCACGTCGACCATGTCTATCCAATCTCCCCCTGCCTCTCTTTTTTTAAAAAAAAAAAAAATTTCTATTTATTTATGATAGTCACAGAGAGAGAGAGAGAGAGAGGCAGAGACACAGGCAGAGGGAGAAGCAGGCTCCATGCACCGGAAGCCCGAGGTGGGACTCGATCCAGGGTCTCCAGGATCGTGCCCTGGGCCAAAGGCAGGCGCCAAACCGCTGCGGCACCCAGGGATCCCTCCCCCTGCCTCTCTTACAAGGATGCATGTGGCTGCATTTAGGATCCAATCAGATAACCCAAGATAAGTCTCTCCTGTGCAGATTCATAATCACATCTTTTGCTCTTTTAGATAATGTTTGCTCTGCTCTTTTGCCTGCATCTAAGTAACGATCACAGGGTCCAGGGCTTAGGACATATGGACATATCTTTGGGGCCACCATTCAGCCCATGACAGCAACAAAACCCTCGGAAAGTCAGTGGGCCCAGGGGTGGCAAGATGGTGGCCTTTGTAAGCCACGGTGCCTGGTCCCCTCCTCGTGGCTTCTGTGTTCAGAGCTGCCTGGGTCCCTGTGCCAAATGGCCTCAAGCCTCCCACATGGAAATGTTCACTCAGGGGAAGAACAGAGAGCCAGGTAGCAGGAGCCCTGTGAACTTTCATTATCCCACCGTACCCAGGAAGGAAGCCTCTTCTGCAGCACATTGTCTGATGTTTAAGTGGCTGCATTTGGGTAAAGTCCATGCCTGAGCTGGAGAGAAGTACCGGAGGAAGACACCCAGCTGGGCCTTTCAACTAGGTTCTGCTCTTTTTCACCTTCCCAATCTTTTGAAAGGCATATGCCTATATTTTATTCTAATTATAAGAGTAAAAGACTGAAGTGATGGGGGTGCCTGACTGGTTCAGTCAGTAGAGCACATGACTCTTGATCTCGCAGTTCTGAGTTTGAGCCCCACGTGGGGTATAGATAAATAAATAACTTAAAAAATGAAGGGCGAAAGTTTCACACACTCACAAATTCAGCCAGTCGTTTAGAGATATTTAACTCTTCATTTGGGCCACCATGCAATCATGGTGAAGAGCTTTCACTTCACTGCAGCTTCCAGCACACATAAACACCCCATTTCTCCCCAGCTCACATACAGGTAGGTGCCCATTCCCATGCAAGTGAAGACAGTCAAGAACATTCCTCCTTTGTGAAGCAAGAATAGGCTGAACTCTGAGCTTCGCTCTTCCCAACATCCCTCCTTCTTTTCCTTTGGGGAACTGTCCTTCCCATTCCATGTGATCTTTATGGGCTGATGCCACTCCCAGGCCACAGCAAGAGGCTTATAACTCATGCTGGGCCTACCAAGGTCTTGCCTGCCTTAGTCCATGAGTGATGGGAAAGAGATGGGAATCTCTGCCTTTCTCTGCAGAGATTCCTAAAAGGAGAGACTGCAGATTTGCAGCTACTTATCCACCCTGCAGTGAGAGCCTCCCTAGCTATGAAAGGAAGCCATACACAGACCAAAGGAAGCACCATCACTTGAACCCCTGGAGACAGGTGTGCCTGAAGCCGGGACTGCTCGGCTGCATACCCAAGCAGGCTTAGGTTTGATTTGTGTTTGGTTCCAGTTAGATTACTGGCTAAAGCTGGAAGGCTGGTTGATAGCTACCACATATGGTGTCTGTGGGTTTGTTGGTATTGCTAAATATATAGTGTCAGAGCCAGGGGCTCTTTTTCTGGTCAGGACAGCCCCAAGCCTGGGCTTTGCTGTGATATGCACTTAACCCCTGTCTCTTAGGTCAGGTTCTCCAGAAATTGAGCCCAAGACAGGGATTCTCGACCATGATTTATTAGAGGGAGTGCCCTCAGGGAACCCTCTGAGCGAGGGAGCCAGGAGTAGGCAGGGGAAGGTGCTAGGCGAAGACGTGGTCTCAGCCATATCTGGCTTCAGCCAGATTCCCCTGGCGGCTCTGGAACATGAATGGTGCACAGATTGTCCCTCCACCCATGGCTGCAGTCTACCTCTGGGAACAGAGTATAACTTTATAGGCATTTCTTCTAGAGAAGGGGGCAGTTGTGAACTGTGTTAGCACCCAACATCCCCAGCAGCTTGGTCCAGAGAGGCCTCCGAGCAAGGCACAAACACGCACCTCCATCTGTCTCACGGCCCCTGACAAGCCTCAACTCGGTTTGAGAAGGAGCGGCCAAGGGACTGGGTAACCCTTCACTCCTCAGGAGTCTCCAAGGTCTTGAGGAAGAAGGAAGCAGGCAGAAACTTAGTACTCGGCCCCCATCGTTGTGCCTTCTTCCCCGCAGACATCTGCGCAAGTCAACACAATGACCCTGCCGTACACTGGGTCTGCGCTGGCCACACACAAGCTTGTGAAAACCTTTCTGATACATTTCCCTAGGCCCCAGGAAAGAATTCAACTCTCCACATGGGCTGAAGCAGACAGAATATGTGGGAATAGAAAAGCAGAGGACCACCACTCTAGCGTGTCTGCCAGGGTTAGACTCTGGGTACACTGAGCAAGGGGTCCCCTAAGTTATCCTGGGGCTCCCTGGTGCCCCAGAGGTGGCAGTAGAATAATCCAAGACTACGTTTGGCTACAAATAACGGATGTTTGTGGAGAAATTGGCTTAAACAAACTAAAGATGTCATTTTTCTCATACAATGAAGAGTCTAGAGGAAGGCAGATGCGGGCTGAGGCAGTAGCCCCACAATGTCACGTGGCTCCATTTTCAAAATGGCACAAACATCCCCAGGCACTGCCACTGAGTTCTGGGCAAGAAGAAGAGAGAGGAGCTAACGGCTGAAGGGCCCAGTCAACCACTCTGTTCCTGTTTCACGAACTCTCCTGCAAACCCCCTCTGACTTCCACTTATGACCAGGACTGTGTCACATAACCACCTCCTGGCTGCAAGGGGGGCTGGGAGGTATAGCTTCTGAATCTGAGTACTAGCACAGAAGACAAAGCAACAGAAGTCTCTGCCACTAGGATCTGAGAGTTGATTCAGTTTGAATCAACTACAGCACCTGTAGGTGAGCAGATTGAGCCCAGATTGGTTCTCAGAGCATCTGAGGTCACACAGGCCAGCAGGGGCATACTCCATGGCTGACCTTGGTCTTCAGGCTCCTAGGACAGATCACACGAAAGCAAGGCCAATTGCAGTGCATGTGGATTTATTGAACTATGGATGCCATTCACAGAGCTAGGTTAAACCATGGGGAAGGTGGTCATGTGACCAGTGCAATGCAGGGGACTGGATTCTCATTCTAGATGGTGCCCACCGAGCAGCATATCATGTATGGGAAGAACTTTACCAACATTAGTCATAGGGCACATGTGGCTATCATAACAGGTGGTGCCTCCTTGAGAGGGTGCCATGAAAGGCTGAAGTGTTAAAAGTTCTGCCTATAAGCCTGTTCAGATGTACTCCTTAAGGCATGTTCTATTTGGGGAGGCTGATAAAATCCCTTAGAATTCTGGGAATTTGGATGCTTTATGACTTCTAGGTGATCTGGGGCCCCAGTGAGGCTTCAGGAACACAGGTGACCCCCTCCCATCCCTACCCTGTGGGACAACCCCACTATTCCAAGGTCAGTGGAGAGAGGGACCTAAAACCAAGAAACCCACTAAAAGGGAAACCAAGAGCTTTGCATCAGACCCTCAGCCCACCTCCCTCACTTTAGGGGACAGGCACACAGGGTGTAAAAAAGAGTAGCAGTGCAAAAGCACTGGGTCCAGGTTGGGAGGCAAGCCAGTTCACTTTCAGTGAGGCAGTAGGGTACAGAAGGGGCCCTGTACCCCAGGCAGAATGGGACAGTGATATTGACCAAGGTCAGCTGTCCTAGTCAAAGCAGGGGCTGGAGAGCCAAGACAGGAAGCATGGAGAGCAGGGAGCTCCCAACCAGGAGCCCAACTGCAGAGGACACCTTGGGGGTGGGAGCAAAATGTGGACTTCAGGCAGAAGCTGGGTTCTGCTCTCTGCCTCCACCACCTCCATCCCAGGCCCCTCATGCCTCCATCCAGGCCTATCAGGAATGGAAGTATGCGGAAGGAGGCAGTGCAGGGGCTCCCAGCTCAGCATCCCCTCCCTATACCTACTTGCAGGAGAGGGTGCTCGGGGTCCTGATGGACATCTAGCTGGTCGCGCAGGACTAGAGGCCACCCACTGTCAAAGGCCTGTATGGCATCATCTATGGAGGAAAGAGTCCAGGGTGGGCTAGGCTGGGAAACCCCAGCACAAAGCCCGGATCCTCCAGGACAAACAGAGACCTCTAGCATCCTGCGGTGGGAAGATAGGTCATCGACGAGGACTGGCTTCTGGAATGGAAGTTGCATGACAGGAATAACAAAATAGGAACACCTGTGCTAATAGCGCCTTACAAACTGCCATCCTCACAGGGAAGGGCACAGATGTGCACAAAAACGCCTAGCAGAGTTAACTAACTCTGGGCTGGACTTCACACCCAGGCCTCCCAGTTTATTCAGACCCAAAAGGCACGATCATCAATGGAGGCATCGGGAGTGCCCTGGGCGTGGGACCGCCTCAGAAGTGGCCGTAGCTGGATTTGGCCAGGTTCCATTCCAGGAACCCAGAAACTTGTTTTGACAGCCCCACCCCCACCCGCCTGTCCGCAGGGTCACAGGCCTAGACATCCCTAAGATCCTACTTTGGTCTGTGATCTGGCCTCCGGAGAGGACTGGGCGCGGGTTTGCGCAGCGGCAGGTCGACAGCAGAGGGGTGTGCACCTGCGCAGCTGCCGCAAACAGCCTGTGTCCTCGCCGCTAACATAAGGTCCGGCCCGCCAAACCCCGGGAAGGGGCGGTGGGCGCCTCCCGCCCGGGACCCTCACCCAAGCAGCGGTTCCTGGTGAAGAGGCCCCGGAAGGCTTCGCACTCCTCACGCCGGTTTCCGCTGGCTCCGCAGTCGCACCAGGGCGCCACGCGCGCGCTCGCGTTGTCCACGTAGTTGGGGGTGACGGCGGTGCCTGCGGAGGACCCCGAGGCTGGGTAGTCGGCCCACCCCGGCGGAGGCATCCCCGGGAGAGGCCCAGCCCGCGCCCGGACCCCGGCAGTGCGTACCCACGAGGCCGGCGTAGGCGCGCAGGCAGCGAGGGGCCTGGTCCAGCAGGCAGCCGTCGGGGGCGCTGGGGGCGGGCGCGCAGGAGGCCTGGAAGGCCAGGAGGCGGGGCCTGCGCGGCGCGACCGGGGGCGGTGAGCTGGGGGCCCGCCCCATCCCGTTTCCCCCCGCCCCGTCCCACCCAGCGCCCGCACCTGCAGGCCCCCCCACGCACCCCCAGCACCCGGGACCGGGACCCGCCGCCCCGTCCCACCCGGCGCCTGCACCTGCAGATCCGGCTGTGCTCGCAGGCGTCTAAGGGTGCGAGGCAGGAGGGCGGCGCCGGGCCGGGCCCCGAGAAGGCACAGGCGGGCACGAAGGTCTGGCGCCGGCGCTCGGCGCACGGGGCGTTGGCGCACGGGCAAAAGAGCAGCGCGTGGGTGAGCGCGGGCGGCCCGCGGGAGAAGAAGCGGCGCAGGGCGCGGCGGCAGCGGGCGCGAGGACAGCCCCCGGGCGCGGCCCGACCCAGGCACTGAGCCACGTACTCGGTGCGCAGCCGCTGGCACCGCGCATCCGCCGTGCAAGCCTCGGCCGCGTCCAGGCATCGGTTCCGTCCGGCCGAGCTGGGCGACCCTAGGGGAGGGGCGGGCAGCTGCTGTTCTCAATGAGCCCTACCGGCGCGCTGCACCTGCGTTCCCCCGCACGCCCTCTAAAGATGCGGGGCACTGCGCACTGAGGAGTGCGGTGTGGCTCCAAGGCGCGACCGGCTGGCACTGACCGGCCTTCCCTCGCGGGGATGGGTGGCGGCGGGCCCTGGGGAGTTCTGCGACACGTTGCGGATGCGTGAGGAGCGCCAAGACTCAGCTCGGCCTCCCCATCCTCCCCACGCACCAGTCCTGCCGCAGAACGGCCACGCCCGTCCAAAGAGGGTCCGCGGGGCTCCTGCCACTCTCATAGGCCCCGCCCGACGCGGAAACAGAGCCGGGCTTTGGGGAACTTGGCTAATGGACTTTTATCTGAAATGGCGTTGAGAACAGTGGCTACTCCTCTTTCTCTCTGACGCGCTGGGACACCTGAGCTTTCTTCCTGTCTTCTCCGCCCTTGCCCAAGGACATCGTTTGAGTGAGCCTCTGGGTTTCTGGCTCTCCCTCCTTCTGCCCCTCACCGCGCGTCTTGCCCTCCCACTCCCTTCTGATGCTCCCTTCTCGTCCATTTCCCGTCCTGCCCCACCTAGACTCTGGCTTCCCCTGGTCCCTCCACTCTCCCCCCAGCCAGCAAAAGAGGGATTCCCTGAAAGGGCTCTGGGCACTGGAGGGCCCATTTAGACCTGGCTGCCAGGGTGTGGATTCCAGAGAAGTCCTTCCGCTCAGGCCACGGAGCTCTGTCCTGAGCCCCAAGAGCCAAAGAGTCCATGTTGGATGGCACTCCGCTGGGGGCCAGGGCAGGGTCTGGAGGAAGGGACTTGACAACCCCTTCCTAGGATCTGGGTCGCCAAAACCAGGGTACCCCCGCCCCTCGGAGCTCTGCGCTCAGCAGAAGTTCTCGCTGGAGTCAGGCCCCACATCCATCTCGAAAAGCGACCCCTTCCTCCACGATGCCCCTGCTGCGGAAGGGGAAGCCAAGCAGGTGGAGCAGCAGATGCGTGGCACCAAGGAATGAGTGTGAAACTCCAAGACTGAAGATGGAGAGTAGGGGTTGGGGGAAGGGTAAGTGAAGTGGGAGAGTAGGAAAAAAAAAGTTTCTGGGACAGGGGTACCATGATGGGACATGGGGATGGGGAGGGGTGGGCTGCACAGTGCACTGCAGGGCTGCCAGGTGTCTCTGCACACCCAGTACATGGGTCTCTTGCTGGTGCCCCTTGCTGTGGTGCTGGGTTTTTTCCAGGATTGTCCTCTTGCCCCCCTCACCCTGTCTGTGAAAATCAGAGAGGCCAGAGTTCAGAGGTCTGGGGAAGGAGATGGCCACTCACCCTGAAGCAGCAGCAGCAGCAGCAGCAGCGGCAGCATCATAGGCACCAAGCAGAGGTCCATGCCGGGCAGCAAACAGAGGAGATGACAGCTGGAACAGAGTCCCAGTGGGACAGGTGTCCCCTTCCCGCACTGCATGAGCCCAGTGCTGGGAACCCAAGTGTCCGTGCTGACTTGAACACTCCCTGAGGGAGGAGCCTTTGTAGAGGAAATGATCCCCGGCCCCACTGAGGCCCTACTCCAGGCTGTGCCTTCAGGTAGGTCCCCCAGTGGCTGAATCCAGCACCTGAATGTGCCTAGGTGCACACACACACACACACACACACACACACACACACACACCAACAACCTAAGGAGACCTTGTCTCTCCCATGCCAAACCATTAACTTTATGAAACATCATTGTTCTTTCCCTTCTTTTATAATTCTTTTTATTTTTAACTAAAGACTTGGAGAAAGTCGCTAAGAAAAATGTTAGTGTTCCCCTTACATATATCCTTCCCTGAGTGGCTTTGGCTCTTCAGCATCTTTTGTGATTCCGTACAAATTTTAGGATTATCTTTAATATTTCTGTGAAAAGTACCATTGGAACTTTGATAGGGATTGCACTGAATCGGTAGATGGAAGAATATTAATTCTTCCAGTTCATGACCATGGAATATCTCTCCATTTGTTTGTATCTTCTTCAATTTCTGTCATCAAAGTGTTAGGGTTTTCAGTGAACAGGTCTCTCACCTCCTCAGTTAAATTTATTCGTTGATATTTTTTTATGCTGTTGCAAATGGGATTGTTTTATTTCCCTTGAAGATAATTTGTCAGTGACTAGAAACACCCCTGATTTCTGTATGTTGATTTTGTATACTGTAACTGCTGAATTTGGGGATTAGTTCTAATAGTTTTTTGATGGAGTTTTTAGGATTTTCTATATATAAAATCATATCATTGAAGCACCTGGCTGGCTCAGTTGGAGCATGTCGCTCTTGATCTCACAGTTGTGATTTCAAGCCCCAGACTGGGTGTACAGATTGTTTAAAAATAGAATCTTGAAGTAAAATAAAAAATAAGGAATAAAATAAAATCCTGTCATCTGCAAACAAAGATAATTTTACTCCTTCCTGTCTGATCTGGAGTTCTTTATTCCTTTTTTTCCTAAGTGCTCTCACTAGCACTTCCAGCACCATCCTTAATGGGAATGGTTGGAATGGGCATCCATCCTTACCATGTTTCTGATCTTAGAAGAAAAACTTTCAACCTTTCACCATTGAGTATGATGTCAGATATGGGTTTGTAATTATCTGGCCTTTGTTATGTTGACGTATAGTCCTCCTATACCCAGTTTTTGGTTGATTTTTTTTCTTTTTTTTTATCATGACAGGATGTATTTTGTCAAATGCTTGTCCTGCATCTATTGAGATGATTATATGACTTTTATCTTTCTATTAATGTGGTGTATCACATTTATTAATTTGCATATGTTAAACCATCCTTGCATCTCAAGGATAAATCCCATTTGCTCATGGTGTATGATCCTTTAATGTGCTATTGAATTTACTGTGCTAATATTTTGTTGAGAATCTTTGCATCTGTACTCATCAGGGATATTGGTTTCTAGTTTTCTCATATCATCCTTATCTGGCTTTGGTATCAGGGCAATGGTGGTTTCCTAAAATGAGTTTGGAAGTGCTCCCTCCTCTTTGAATTTTTTGGAAGAGTTTGAAAAGGACTGGCATTAATTCTTCTTTAAAAGTTTGGTAGAGGGATGCTGGGTGGTTCAGCGGTTGGGTGCCCACCTTTGGCTCAGGTAGTGATCCTGGAATCCAGGATCGAGTCCCACATTGGGCTCCTGTGAGGAGCCTGCTTCTCCCTCTGCCTATGTCTCTGCCTCTCTCTCTCTCTCTCTCTCTGTCTCTCATCAATAAATAAATAAATCCTAAAAATAAATAAATAAATAAAAGTTTGGTAGAATTCATCAGTGAAATTATCTGGTCCTGGGTTTCTAACTTCTTAATGTGGACCTTTATTCCATTGACTTTCAGCTCTCTTTGTATAAAAAATACTGTGGCTATAAATTCTCCTCAAAGTACTGCTTTAATGGCATACCCAATTTTTAATCATTCAATTTTTATCATGAGATGTTTTCCTCTTTATCATGTAATTTTCAGTATTTTAAGACATGCACTAAAGGGGGAGTCTCATGGGATCCAGATACCCGCTCCCCCAAGGGTGAGAGTATGGAGAGATTTTTTTTTTTTTTTAGATTTTATTTATTAGAGTCACAGAGAGCGAGAAAGAGGGGCAGAGACACAGGCAGAGGGAGAAGCAGGCTCCATGCAGGGAGCCAGACATGGGACTCGATCCCAGGTCTCCAGGATCACGCCCTGGGCTGAAGGCAGCGCTAAACCGCTGAGCCACCGGGGCTGCCCAGGAGAGATGTATTAATCATGTTCTTTATTTTCTGTATTTTATGATGATTTGACATCTATCTTGGTTGGGTGAGGGAGCTTGGTGACTGGGGAAGAGACTGCTTCTGACCTTAATTCCTAGAGTTAAGGAATATTTGCCTATGAATATGTCTTTCATATGCAGACCAACAAATCCTGAGTCAATACCCCAACCACCTCCTTTCTCCTAACCCTTACCAAGCCTGTATTTGCCCTGCCTTAAATCACCACAGGGCCAGGTACCAGGCCATTAGAGACTACCCCTATATTCTGGAGCTGGCCAATCCTGAGTGGCTTATCTTGCCCTGCCTTGCCTTTCCTGTAGTAACTTTAGTTCTCTCCCCTCACTCCTGCTTCTGCCTCCTGCCTGAACCTCATGCTTCTTCATGTGGCCCTGCTTGGCATGACATGACCCCCTCTATTGGGAATTGTAAGTAATAAAATTGTAAGTAATAAAAACTTATTAACCTCTCCATGTCATTACTCAGGTCGTTGTTGTAAATCAAAATCTCATGGGTACAATTAAGACAAAAGGCAGCTTGGGGTACTTGGGTGGCTCAGTTGGTTGAATGTCTGACTCTTGGTTTCAGGTCAGGTCATGATCTTAGGGTTCTGAGACTGAGCCCCACATCTGGCTCTAAGCTTGGTGGGGAGTCTGCTTGAGATTCTCTCTCCCTCTCCCTCTGCCCCTCCCTACAGTCACTCTCTCTCTCAAATAAATAAAGCTTAAAAAAAAAAAAAAAAAGAAAGAAAGAAAAATAATATGGGCATCCCGGGAGGGCTCAGCAGTTTAGCGCCACCTTCAGTCCAGGGCGTGATCCTGGAGACCCAGGATCTAGTCCCACATCCGGCTCCCTGCATGGAGCCTGCTTCTCCCTCTGCCTGTGTCTCTGCCTCTCTCTCTCTCTGTGTGTGTGTCTCTGTCTCTCTGTCTCTCATGAATAAATAAATAAAATCTTTAAAAAATAAAAAGAATAAAAGGCAGTTTTAGAAAACTGTCTCATTCAATCTCTGGGGCTGATGGAGTGGAAGCCAGCCCAAGCCTGGAGCTGCCTCTTTTCTGCAGCCAGTGGCAGGAATGGTGGGTGGTAAGAATTCCCCCAAGTGTTCAGGCCCTCTGAAACATGATTCTGCTGCTCTTCCCATCAAGAGAGTTTCTCTCGGGATCCCTGGGTGGCGCAGTGGTTTGGCGCCTGACTTTGACCCAGGGCGCGATCCTGGAGACCCGGGATCGAATCCCATGTCGGGCTCCCGGTGCATGGAGCCTGCTTCTCCCTCTGCCTATGTCTCTACCTCTCTCTCTCTCTCTCTCTGTGACTATCATAAATAAATAAAAAATTTAAAAAAAAAAAAAAGAGAGTTTCTCTCCCAGTCCCTAGAGCTTGAGCTGGCCCTGTGACTTGCTTGTGCCAATAGGGTATTATGGAAGTAAAATGTGCCAGTTGTAGAATCTTCCAGAGGCCTTGCAAGCTTCCACTGACTTTTTGGCAGGGCTGGGATTGGGGTGAGACAGGATCACTCTTATGAATTTCTCCTTCTGCTTCAGGTTCCAGTGTGGCTTGGCATGACACAATCACTGATCTGGTCTTCAGTTAAAATTCTGATGTTTTGTTCATCATTGATTTTGACATTAATTTTGCTTTTAAAAATTTTACATTAAAATATCTCTCATCTTGATTGCCTTTTTTGTGTGTGTGCTCAAGCTAAGTGCATCACTTACCTTACCCTAATCCTGGTCCCCCTCTCTCGAACCCTAGTCTGGGCTAGTCTGTTGGAAAAATGACTGCATAGCCCATTCATCCTTATCAGTCTACCCAACAGCTGGCCAAACCCAGAAGCAGAACTGCCCAACCAACCGGCAGCTGATTGCAAACATACGAGCCCAACTGAACCACGTGTTGAGTTAAACCTAATTTGCTAATTCACAGAATTAGTTGTTTTAAGCTACTATGTTTTGGGAGTGGTTTTGTTATATAGCAACAGCTGACCAATACAGAAGGTCACCCAGCAATTCTTTCATGAAGCACAGGGAGAGAATGAGTGGCTTCTGAGAATCTCCAAGGGAGGCATTAGACATGGAGCAAAGGGATCATTCAAGCTAAGTAACACCATCCTATGCCCAGGTACATCAGGGGGCCTGGCTGCCATCTGAGGCTCCACCCACCAACTACCACCCCTGGGACTTTCAGGGAACCCCATGGGGTTGAATCTGTATAGAGAAAAGACTCACAGAGGCTCTTCTGACTTCTATTTTGGTGTCCTTCTTAAAACAGCTCCTTCTGCCCCCTCCCAAGAAAGGGAGGAGAGGCTGAGTAGTGTCCAGAGTGAGGGGGCTACAGCAGACCCAACACTCCTCTAAAGTTTCCAGTGGAGGACCAAGAACAGGGGTGATGTTGAAGAAGTGTCCAAGGGACAAACCAAAGCAGGAAAGGGGAGGGAGGGGGGTCCCAAGGATTTTGATTTTTTTTTTTTTTTTTTTTTGCAGAGGCCAGGCTCCAGGGAAGTGGACTGAGTCTGAAATGTAGGGCCCCCAGAGCCCAGGCTTCTGGTCCAATAGTCCCTGGCCTCTATAGAGCTGGGTCTATATAAAGCACATGTAGCAGAGACACCCAGCCTCCCTGGACAGAGGCCTCTCCTCATGCCCAGCATGACCTAGCCTCCCCTGGTGATAGGAGGTCAGTGACTACATGACCTTTGTTCCTGAGACTGATAGATTCTTGGGCTGGATCCCCTAGTCCTAAGGAATGGGGATAGCATTGGCACCTTCTGCTAAGGCTCTGGGGTCCTGGAGTAGATAGGATAAGCTCAACGCAGGGCAGAAATTTGCAGGCTGCAAGAGTGCAGGAGGTCTGACTCTGACTCTGCCCCTGGGAGACCAAGTCCCTGGAGAGGCTGTCAGTAGGCGACTGGCTATAAGCATCCTCATCTCAGGAGCTTCCTCTCACCAGTGACAGGATCTTGGCTTCTGGATCTGACCTGCTGAAAATGAAGAGGAGGGGTCACCCTGAGACCTGGGACCCTCTTTCTTCCCTCAGTGAGGACCAGTGACCCAGGAAGAGATACAACTTTTCTCTCTTCCACCCTGGGGGCTTCCAGCATCTGGTCTCTGTGACAACAGCTTTTCCACAGGTCATATCTCATTTGCATAATAACCCAAGCTCAGAAACCTCAGAGTAGGGGATGGGAGATAAGACAAGAGGACATCCATCACAGAGGTGGGTGGGTGAGGTGGGGAGGGCCCCACCTACCTTGCAGTTGCAGGCAGAGCAGCAGGGCAGAGGCTTCTCAAGGTGGCTCCTGGGCTCTGGCAGAGTTCTCCAGGTCTGAAGCAATGGGTGGGGGACAAATATTGTGACCATGGGCAGGAGTTCCTGGGGCAGGGTGGGGCAGGGTGGGGCCAGGGGCCTCAAGGTACCTGGGTGCTGAATGGAAAGGAGGGGGGCCCATCTGGAAGGAGGTAGAAGGCAAGAGCCCATCCTTCACTTCCCTCCCCATCTCCCCCTGTGCCTCACTCACCCAGAGGCTGGGACTCTCCAGTGGCTGCTGGGCCCAGCTCCATGGGGTGAATGCTGCTGGAGGGACGGTCCCTGTTTGGGCCATCTTTGGGCCTGAGCAGCAGGGCAAGAGGACAGGAGATTGGAACAGCGGTCCTGAGCAGGCGTACCGGACCGAGTTCTGCCATGGATGAGCCTCTACCCTTCCATGTCACTCCCTTCAGTTCCCTTCCTGCTCCCTCCTGGGAGAGAGACCCCTGGGTTTCAGGCTCCAGTTCCGACTCCTGCCCTCCCAGAGCCACAGGCACTTCTCTCTGGCCCTGACATTTCTCTCAAGCTCTCCCATCACCCCAGCATCCTGGCACCCCCCAGGGAGTGGCATCACTCAGGTTCCAAAGATGGGTGGACCTCCTCCCCAGTAGCAGCTGTACCTGTGCCCCTTGCCACTGGGGGCCCCTGCTGCCCTGGATGACTCCCAGCCATACGTAGCTGCCCTCGTCCCAGTGCCTCACCACTTCCCTTGCTATTTCTTGAAACAGTCTCTACTGTCCTCGAGACACTCGGGCCGTAGTGATGGTATGTGGTTGCTCCCCACCCTGCCCAGCCTCTTAGGCCCCCTTATGCTGACACAGCAGATTCTGACCACCCTGCTCCTCCCCCACACGCCTGCAATCACTGCTCATCATGTCAAAGCCCTCTTGGAACCTGGGACCCGGCTGGTGACATGCCCCTCTCTGGGATGCCCTCTGCCCAATCTCCAGCCCAAACCCTGTCCTTTCCCGCAGCTTGTCCGGAGAACCCCTAAGGCCAGGCTGTGTCAGCTGTGCCATAGGATGCCTCCCTTGCCCAACACCCCAGTGAAGGGGCAGGCGTAGAGCAGCCATGCTTAGGTATTATGTGACCCTCCTGCCGGCTCACGGAGAACTGGGTAAGGGGCAGGCCCTGGGCACAAGGGCAGCCAGCGATCCCTAAGCAGCGGTACGGAGTGGAAGGAGGTGCTGGGCATTTAGGGACTTGAAAGGTATACAGAAGAGATTTAGGCAGAGGAAGTAGGAAAGGGCTAAAGAGTCATGAGAGGCTAGGAAAGTCTTGAAGGGCACAGTGGAGCAAGAAGTGCACGATGAACTGGTAGGTCAATGGCAGTCTAGGGTGAGGCAGCCCCCTGGCAGGAGAAAAAGAAGAGGTGGACAAGAGGGGCTGAACCACAGTCAAGAGGAGGGGTTGAAGGCCCCACGGGGATCTGCACCATCGGATCCACTGGGAGGCCACGGTAGCCTGCTCAAGGCTCCTTTCCACTGCCTCTACCCAACTCTGTGCAGCTGGGCACAAGGCTGAGGACCCCACCCCAGCCCACCCCCAGGCCCAGCAGAGCTCTGCAGAACAGGAACCACAGGAGTGGGCTCAGAGCATACCTACTACAGGAGGGATCCCTCCTCAACCCCCAGAGGCATTGCTGGAGACCGGATCTGGGCTGCCGGCAGCAGCACCAGGCCAGGCCAGCCCCGGGGAGTAGAGGCAGCAGGAAGCTAAGGATCACCACCAGCAGGAAGGTCTTGTGGTCTGCGGACAATGGGGTAAGGCTCAGTCCTTAACAGGTACACCACCCCAGTCCCTCCCCACTTGTCCCCCATGGACATACTTTCAGGCTGCATAGGACCACTGTCCACACTGCCACCAAATCCTGGCTTGTCACAGGAGGGTGGAGCCCAGCCTGGAGCACAGTGGCAGTTCTTGTTACTGTTGCAAACCTACAGGGAAGGAGAAGGAGGATCCCGTGGGATGAGGAACCTCAAGACCACCCCCCCAATCACTTTTCTGGCCACTCACCCCATGACCATGGCAGGTTGTCAGGCATTGCTCCAGCTCCAAGAAGGTAGTGTTTTGGCAGCGCCTGTTCTGGCACACCTATGGGCAGTGTGTGCACTGGGCAGTGAGGGGGAGTGACGTTTAGGCCTGGAGGTCTCAAGCATTAGAGAGGGCCTGATGTGCAGGGCTCACCATTCTAGGTCCACATGGGGTGCCTGGCTCTACCAGGCCCAAGTCCAGCAGGTCCAGCTGGACACCGGGCAGCAAGAACACTCCCCTACAGGTCACCTCCTCCCTGCCTAGCCCAACAGAGGAGTCCACGGGCACCGTGTGTGGTGGGAGTGGGTGCTGCTCCCCTCCCAGGCACTGCAGCTTCCCGCACTGTGCATCCCTGGGGAGGAGAGTGCAGGGTGATCAAACAGCGAGGAGTATCTTTGCCCTAACCTACCCAGCTTCCTCTCCCTCCCCTCCACTCCCCACCTCTGCGCACAAGGTACGAAGCCACCCTTGCCGTCCTGGCCACAGTTCCCGTGGGCGTCTCCCGCCGAGTTCACGATCTGGAAACAGAACTCTGGGGCTGGGCTGGAGCCTGAGGAAGCATGGGCGACATCGCGCTGGCTTCAGTCCCCGCCCCCGCCCCCGCCCCCGCCCCTCTTCTCTAGAGTAGAAACCAGCGCAGATCCCAGGATGGTGCGGGTGTTCCCAGTAGTCTCACCAGGCCCCCAGAGCCGCTGGCACTGCCCCTCGAGTGTAGGACACGCGCCATCCCAGCAGTAGCCCCGGCCGCGGGCACAGGGCGAGCCGTCCAATAGGTAAATGTCCGGGGGGCAGTAGGGGGAGGCGCCGGTGCAGAACTCTGGGAGGTCACAGTCGCCCACAGCTCGGCGGCACGGCACGCCAGCCGGCTTCAGCTATGCAGGTGACCGGGTGGAGGGAGGGTGGCCGAGGCACAGAGACAACGGACAGTGAGAGATCCACCCCGGTAGCGCGGTTCAGAAGCCGGAGGGCCAGGCGGGAGGCCGAGCCCCCGGGGCGGAGCAGAGCCCGCGCTCGCCCGGGAACCCGAGCGCGCCCCTCAGCCAAGGCCGACAGGCCTGCTCGCGAGCGCCCCCTAACCTCACCCCAGCCTCCCACGCCCTCACCAGGCAGCGCGCGCAGCAGTCCCCGTGGGTGCACTGGGCCCCCGCGCGCAGCGAGCAGTTGTGCGCGAGGCAGCAGGCGTCCTGGCATTCCTGGAGCCGAAAAGGGGTTGTGGGACCAGGTGAGGACGCCGCGCCCCACACCTCGGGGAGAGGGGGAGGGGGCGGGCGGGGCGCCAACCTCGGCCCCCGGGGACCGCGAGCGCGGACCCGACCTGGCTGGCGCCGCAGTCACACTCCTCGCCCTCCTCCACGAGGCCGTTCCCGCAGCGCGCCCGAGGCACTAGGAGCCTGGAGTCCGGCGCGTTGGAAAGGCACGCACCGCCCCCCTTGCGGAAGAAGGCGCGCAGCTGGCGTCGGCTGCAGGCGCTGAAGACGCGCGGGAACGGGTGCCTACGAGAGGGGAAGGGCGTCGGGCGTGCGGGGACCGCCACCTTAACCCCGGCCCATCGCCCGCCCCCTCCCACCACTACCCGCTGTGCTTGGCCACCCAGCCCCTGGATGCGCGGACACCGCCTAAGCGACAGGCGGCCCGGATCCCCTCGAGGCAGGGCCCAAAGAGGGCAAGTAACCTGCGCAAAGTCCCACTGCGAGCCGGCGGTGGGAGGGTGTGACGCCAGGACCAGGCTGCCCAGGAGGAGGGCGCATCGCGACCTGGGAGCGGTGACTCCCGGGGTTGGAGAATCCTCGCTAGAATGTTCTGAAAGTGACCCGTATACTTTTGGGAATCCACTTTTTCTGAGTTTCCTCCTTTTAAGCATTATAAAGAACTCTCGAGGGGGATATGATCCTATCCTCGTCTTGGGGAAGACGAAATGGAGGGATGAGCGTTTCTCCCAAAGAAAGGCCCCGAGGAAGGCCCCCGGGGCCAGCGAGCCTCCCCCACCCCCCACCCCCGACCGCCGCGGCGTCCTTGGTACCCGGTGGCCGCAGCCATGACGCAGCCGCCTTGCTCAGCCGCCGCCTCCACGCAGCAGCCGTCAGGGTCGTGGCTGAGGCCAAGGCTGTGACCTATCTCGTGGGCCATGGTGGCTGCTGCGCCGATGGGGAGCTCTGAGTGGTCCTGGGAGGGAGTGGGGATGGTCACTGCGGGGCCGCGGGGCCGCTTCATCCCCCTCCTGTCCCGGCCGGAGCTCACCGTGCTCACGCCTCCTGAGCTCTCGGCGCGACACATGCCCTCGATGGGCGCCAGGCCCACGGTGGCGCCCTGGAAGGCGCGGCCCCTGCGGACGGGATGCAGCGTGACCCGGCGGGCCAGGATTCTGGGCAGCCAGGCGGGGGACCCGCGTGGGCTCGGAGGCACCCACGTGAGCAACTGCGCGGAGTCGTGTGGCCGCCGTGCCCACAGCCCCCGGCGCCACTGCAGGAAGGCCCAGAGCGTGGCGTTCGCGTCCGGCGAGACGCGGCTCTGGTCCTGCTCCGTCCACACTTCCAGGCCGGTCAGTGCCACCTGAATGTCCAGAGTCCTGAGAATCTGTGGACGGGACATGGGGTAGGACAAGACGTGCCACCGCGCCCGTGCGCCTCTGTGGGAGTGCCCTCTCTTCTCTGCTCCGATCCCTGTCCTCACGTCCACGCCTCCCACATCCCGCTAGGCCTTGCCAGCCCATGTCAGAGTCACCCCCATTAGGGCCCTCTTCCTGCCAACCCCAACCTGGTCCACATAGTTGGCCACCTCCAGGAGGCGCTGTTTGGTGTGGTTCAAGTTCCGGTGCTGGGTTAAGAACTGGAAAGGCAGACAGACATAAGAGGGTGTGACAGGCTGCACTAGCCCCATCCCACCGCCAACCCCCTGGGGCCGCTGGCTCACCAGTGTGTGGTCAGCCACTATGTACAACTCCAGGAACTTCGGGCTCTTGCGGACCTCCCGCCTCTCCTGGGGAGAGGCAAGGGTGACCCTCAGTGTCAGGCTGCTGGGCTTGAGTCCTGACCACTAACCCCAATTCCCAGGAAGCACAAAGCTAACTTTAAAAATTGCTAGAGGGATCCCTGGGTGGCGCAGCGGTTTGGCGCCTGCCTTTGGCCCAGGGCGTGATCCTGGAGACCCGGGATCGAATCCCACGTCGGGCTCCTGGTGCATGGAGCCTGCTTCTCCCTCTGCCTGTGTTTCTGCCTCTCTCTCTCTCTCTCTCTCTCTCTCTCTGTGTGTGTGTGTGTGTGACTATCATAAATAAATTAATTAATTAAAAAATAATAAAAAAAAAAATAAAAATTGCTAGAATGTGTTTCTTCAGCCTCCAAATAAGAATATCAGGATCAGAGGCCCTGAACTGGGACTGTGTATTCCTCTCTCTTCCAATTTGGGGGGCTATGGATACTGCATTCCCATTCCCACCCCCTATCTGTGCACCTTGATCTGACCTTGATCTGAGTGGCACGAGAAAGGCTGGCCATGTCCCCTTTGTTCCTGGCATCCCTGTGGCCACAGGCCCTTTTCCAGCTAAGCAGCTGCTGGGTCCGGAACATCTTGTGAGTGATGAAGTCCTCAGAGTCTCCAGCTGACCATGGATGCACATAATAACTGGCATTGCAGCCCAGTGTAATCAGGCCTCTGGGGTGCAGAGGAGTGCAGAGGAGGGTGTGAGGGGACTGTCTCTCCAGCCCCAGGTCCAGCCCCCTCCCCCAGAACTTCTCACCTCATCCCAGAGCAGGTGCTGAAGACTACCCAGGAGTCAGGGAAGCCCCTCACGTGCCCATGGTAGTGGCAGTGGTCCTGGAGAGCAAGGGACCCAGCCCCAAAGCTCAGCCAGGGCTGAACTGGGAGGGGCCAGAGAGAGGGCATGGTGGGGGGCTGGCTCCTGCCTCTCCTTAAGAACAGGAGGAGAATGGGAAAGGAATGGTAGAAAGGTCTTCAGGAAGTTCACTCCCCAGCACCCCTTACCCTGTCCTCAGAGCCCATGAAAGTATCTCACCGTGTGGTTGGGGACCAGCACCACCGGCTGCCCATCTGGATTATAGTGGGTTTCTGTGTATCCTGGGGCCAGCAGCCTGCTGGGAGGGGGTGTTGTAGGAGTCACCTAATTCTGCCCACCTAATTCTTCCAGGATGTTCTCTAGCCCTCCTCCCTGAATGCTGATTGAATTGCTCAGTAAGTGAGGCACAGGGCACTGCAGAAGCACCCAAATGTATCCTAGGGAAGGGACAAGAGCCACTGTGTGTTGCCCAGGTCAGAAAAACCCTGGTCTAGAGGGAAAAAGGTGGAGGGCAAGAAGGAGCCTTGGTAATGGCGGAGCTGTGGGAAGTGGGAGTGTGGGAAGCACCCCGGAGGAGCAGGAATGGGGAAAGAGTTGCCGTTCCTTGTGGGGCATGTGATAGGTGGCTGGGTCTACAGGTCTAGGGAGGGGCAGGAGGGAGGATTCAGGAGACACCAATGAGGAGGTGGGAGCCCGGGAAGTGCATCCCACCAATGAGGAGATGGGAGCCAGGGAAGTGCAGTGACCTCCACCTCCCCAAGTGGCCCTACCTTATGCTCAGCCATGGTGGGCATCTGATCAACCCTCTCTCTTCTTTTTTCTTCCCTCCAAGATCCTTCGGGCCTTCTCTGGCCCTTAGACTCCATATATCTCCCCACCTATCCTTCAGTGATGCTCATCCCACTCTTCCAGAGAATCCCCACCTGCCCACAGCTGCTCCTGCCTGCCCACCTGCCCCATCCCCACTTTCTTCAGCCCCCACTCCAGTAATGATTCTACCTTCATTCTCCATCTCTCCCTTCCCACCAAGGAGAATCAACCATGAGTCAATTTCTCTTCTGTAAAGAAAATCCTCGACCTCTATCTTGCCTTGACTTCTTTACTGCCAGACCACTTCAGAGACCTTTGATGCCTGCTTTTCTACCTCCTAGTCTTTCCTCCACCTTCTCCAGCTTGGCTCCCCTATCCCCACACACACTCAGTTGGAAGAGTGGATGATGTGGTCACCCCCTTTCATGTGTGGGGACATTGAACTCCAGAGGAACTATGACTAGATGTGGTGGAACTAGAGTCTGTTCCTGGTATATCTGGCTCCATGGGGGAGAAGTCAACATGTGTAGAGTGCTTGGAACAAGTGCCTTCGATGAAGCAAGCACTCAATGAATAATAGCTGTTGGTAATTCCATCTGGATAGTTTTCAGACCCCATGCTCCATCTTGGACACCCACCCCACCCAGCCCTACTTTGCTTGCTCATTCACCAGCTCAGAATCTTTAGCTTTGCACCACCCTGGACACTCAACCTTAAAATGGCCTCTGTGATCTGGCCCTACAGGGACTCCCAAACTTGTTTCCTGCTGTTACCTTCCCTGCAGATGGAGACCCTCCAGGCAAGCCAGACAAATTGCTGCCTTCTGAATGTGTCTTGATTTGGTAGCCACGGCACCTTTGTCCCTGCTATCCTTCAGCCCAGAGAACTTACCCATCTTTGGAATCCATCTTGGATTATCTGTTCGTTCACTCAGCACACCCTGTGAGCACCCACTGAGTGATGCTCACTCATTTCTGGCAGGAAGCTAACAAGGTGCTCCTGGGGCTGGAATGAGGGGTGTGCCCCACAGCAGCCTACTTCAGCCTTGAGGGAGCCGGTCATGTGTTGGTATGACCCTTCCTGTCACCTCTGCCTCTGCCTCTAGGGCCCTGGCCCCCTCCAGCCTCGCTCACATGTTTCCCTCAGTCCCTGCCCCCAGCACTGATTCCCATCCGCTCCACAGGCAGAGGCTGTACTTGGCTCCCAGCCTCCTCCCTGACCTGGTACTCACTGGTTCTTCTCCAGCTCCAGAAGGAGCTCCTGCCCTTTAGCCTCCACAGCCACCAGCCCTGTGTCTAGCTTCGAGACCTGGGCAAGAAGGAGAGCAGGGCTGAGGGGCCAGGTGGGATGTGGAGTTGGCAGGTGAGGGAGAGCACAGGAGGCTAGGAGCAGCAGGCTCCCCACCTGCCACGGAGGGTATGGGCAGGTGTGGGGGAGAGAACATGCAGACAAATACAGTCCCAGACTCAGGACGGTTTTGGTTCTGACGATAGCCATCTGACAGTGGCCTGCTGGGTGAACACTGTGTCCCCAAAGAGATGAGACAAGGGGTCCCAGAAAGTTTCCCTGCCTTACGCAAGGTTCCTGGGCCCTTCCTCTGGCCCACCCTCCTGTTTCACAGCCAGAAAGCTTCCTCCAAGTGGGGAGGGGTCCTGAAGACGATGGCTGAGGGAGGTTGGGTCGGCGGCTCGGTCCTTACAACGTCTTGTTTCTGCATCTTACTGCTCCCACTCCCTGTAGAATTCAGACTTTACTCCCTCCTCCTACAATTCTGGCAAACTGAAAATTTCCCTGGCCTCCTGCAGACCTGCCCCATACCTGCTTCCCTGAGCCCGTGAAATAAACATTAATGCCCCTTTCCAGGCCAAGAGGAAAACATCTCAGCTAGACGGGCCAACCCGCCAGCCTCTCCTCCCGCTAGCCTCTCTGCCTCTCCCACCCTGTGGGAATGCCCCATCTGCCCCGCCTTGTCCACTCTGCCTGGCTGGAGGCCCAGAGTTGGAGCTGGCCCAGGAGCGTGCTGGAGAGCTGCGTGTCTCCAGAACGCTGGCCCTTCCCTTCTATCCCACCATGCATCGGGCTGGGCCCCAGGCCAAGGGGCTCAGATTCTTTGGGGGGGGGGCCTTTTCTCTGCAGGTAGGGAGCAGACAACTCCCCACCCCAGCCAAGAGACACCCCCTCACCACCACTAAGGCCCCAAGCATGAGCTCAGGTGGCCAGAACACCACTTACTTAATTGGAGAAAGGTTTGCACCAAGCACAAACAGCAGCCCCAGATGGAAAGCCTCCTCCTACTTCAAACCCAGCCCAGGCTCCCCTCTTTCTCTCCTGCAGCCCTGCTGTCCTTGCTTCCTGCCCTCTTGGTGACCCTGCTGCTCACTCTGCACCCCATCCCTAACGTGAAATGTGGGTATTTCCTGCCTCTTGGACAGGACTCCCTGTCTCAACTCTGCTGTCCTCATCTTGGCAGGCTTCCTGGAGGCAGGCAAAAAAGCAAGGCCCTCTGGGATGTGCTTCCTCATCACAGCCCAGGCTGGCCTGGAAAGGAGGTCTACAGTCAGTGTGACCACAGCCTGTGCGCCCAGCCTTCCCCTCTGCGGGTGATGTCCAGGACAACCCACTTGGAGCTGGAGCCAGCACCATGCTTGACTACTTGAATGAGGGCCCCTGAGGGTCTGGGGGAGGCAGTAAGGGTTCCAGGTTAAAAACTGCTGGGCCTCTGGGGGCCTTCTAGCCTTCTCCACGGTGCTCTCCTGCCCTTCCTCCCTGCTGGCTTGGACAGCGGGTTGTCCTCTCTAGCCTGAATATTCAGGATGAAGATGGCTCTCTAGATTTGGGGGACATTGGTCAATGATTAGAAGTCTTTCAGACCTAAATGGGCTTCTGGGGTCCCGGTCTCAGGCTGTGTGACCTTGGGCCCTTTCTGCAACCTCTCTGAGCTTCAGTTTGCCCCTCTGTGAAATGGGCCTCCTGGTTTGTAGCACAGGTGTGTGACGCATACAGCTGGGGACATGGTTATTCCGGAAGTGCATGATGGGTGGGTGTTGGCAGGAAGCTGAGTCAGAGCATCCTGGAAAAGAGAAATCAGGGGCACCTGGGGGCACTAGGAGAGGGACCAGTGCCCCCTGTCTGGAAGTGGATTCTGCATGAGCCAGGGAGGCTGAAGTTTTCCTGGAGGGCACCATATGTCCACAGGGTAACATGTTCTGCTAAACTTTGCGAAAAGGAGATATTTTGGGGTTTTCTTAAGAGGTCCCTGAAAAGTTTCAGGCCCCACAAATTCTGGCCCCCCACCTCTGCCTGGCAGGGTGGGGGTGGCCTGGATAATTCTGGGATGGAGGGAGCAGAGGGATGTGAGGGGAGAAGCCTGAAAATGACTTCCATGTGTGCAGGCTCATGTGATCAAGAGATCTCCCCACCCCCACCTGCCAGCCCTCCGGGAAAGGGGCCTAAAGGACCCCAGCCAAACTGCCATGCTGAAGTTTGGAGGAGGGGCCAAGGGGCTGGGAGACCCTGGGCCCCTGCAGAGGGAAGGGGAACCTGGCACTGACCGGCTCCTCCCAGGTGACCTTGCTTCGGATTTGTCCATCCAGGATCCAATGCAGGGTGACTGGCTCTCCAGGGTTGTTTCCTAGGGAAAGGACAGAGTAAAAGATGAGGAACACAGGGGAGTGGGGATGAAGGAGGGAAGAGGTTGCAAGACACCAGCCAGGTGGGACGGCTGACTCCAATATTCAAAGGTGTAGCCTGGAGAAGGGTGGCCACCTATGGGGCACCCAGTGCTCTGGAACTGAGCAGCCACCAGGGTGGTGACGGGAGAGAGGGGAGCCTGGGAAGGATAGCTTAGCTGGGGAAAGTGGGAACCCTACGGACCTGGGGGAGGCTTGGGGGTCAGAGGTCACAAAGAAGAACTCAAGGCCCCTAGCACAGAAGGGAAGGAAGAGGAAAGGCAGTCTTGGGTATTTTTAGTCTGGATAGCAGATGCCTTTGGGGTGAGCGATCTGTGTAGAGAGGACGCCTGTGTCTTCTCGCCAAATGAGAAAAACAACAGCCAGATGTCTGAGGAGGCCCACCTGGCCCAGAGCTCCCCTTGGGGGCTTCATGCTGGAAGCAGGACTTCCAGGCACCCTAGGTAAGCAGCCCCTTCCCGGGGTTCTTCAAGGTGGAGAGAGGCCTGGGGGACAGAGCCTGTGTGCTCCCAGGCTGGGTATGCTTAGGGGGGCTCTGGAGGAGTACCAGAGCCAAGCATTACTCAGAAGGCTCTGGAATGCTCCCCTGGAATGCTCCCAGTCTCCCACCCCACAGTGGGTCCAGCAGCTCTCCCCACACCCGCCCTGCAGGAGGCAGGCCCCAGGCAGCCCAGAGCCTGTAGGCAGCCCTCCCTGCCCTCTGACATAATCCCAAGGGAAGCAAGCCCAGCTCCCAGAACTGACAGCTCCCCAGCACCCACCCAACCCTGACCCTAGGCTGAGATGGCTGACTTCAGAAGTGGCCCAGCTCCTGTCAGGCTACCCCAGCTCCCTTCTCTACCCCCATCTTCTCCCCCAAACCCCATCAACAAAGACCTGGAATAGCAGCTGCTCTAGGAGTCCTCTTCCTCCAGGAAGCCCTCCCTGTTTGGATGAGCAAGTTGCCACAGCGGGGGAGGGATTTGAGTAAATCTGAGAGGAGAGGGAAGTGGGGGGGGGGGGAGGCAACCAATCCAGAGAGGACTTAACTGGGTGTGGAGAACTACCTCTTGCTGGCCCTAGGCCTCCCAGGTAGGGAGGGGAGGGTGTGCCTGTGTGTATGTGTGTGTGAGGGTTGGGGTTCTCTTCATGGCACCCCTGAGGAGGGAGAAGGAGACAGAGTTGGAGCTGTGATGATGAGGGTTAGGGAAACCAGGGGAGCCACTGTGGTGTTGGGGAGCACAGAGCCCCTCTCCACTCCTCCCGGGGGTCATGTCACTTCTCCTGACCCCAGGCTGAGGAGGAGAGAGCAGCCATCCCCAAAGGCATGAGGGCTCTCATCTCACCCTCTCCAGTGAGGCCCAGAACAGAACAGGTCTCCCTACTGGGTAACCCCAGCAGTGCTCTGGAACCCAGAGCCCCCAGGCTGCCCAGCCCACCTGGGGCATTCCTGCCTCCTCTCAGCTGTCTGCCCAGTCCCTCCATAGGCACTTCCTGTACAGGACTGAGGACTCGGTCAGTCCTCCTACTCACAGGGTTGTGGAGGTTATCCCAGGGCCCCTTCTGTCTGAAGCGCCCTTCTCTATCTTTCCTTTTTTTTTTTTCTTCTCTATCTTTCCAAACAAGGCAACAATATCAACAACACACACACACATACACACACACACACACACACACTGTCCCAAGGCCCTGGGATACGGGCTGAAGGCTGAAGGCTGAGGGCTGAGGGTGAGTGTGTGCATGAGGGTAGAGGCCACGGTTGGTCCCCTAGTCTGAGGGCAAAGCAGGGACTCCAGGGAACCAATGGGCTGGATCTTAGGGATGGAGGTACAGGAAAGCCCACACTGATGGATGGGGTCTGGGGCTGGTCAGAGCACAGAATCCTGGCAGAGGGGTTTGGGGACTCGGGCAGCTGCTCCGAGGCGGCCCTCCCACTCCCGCCCCCCCCTCCCCCCCCCCCATGGCTTTGCCATTGCCACTGTGGCAGCTGCGCAGTGTCAGTCTGGGCCCCAAGGCCAGCCCAAGTACAGCTGAGAGTCCCTGGGCAAGTCCTACAGAGACCCTCTCCGGCCTCCCAGTCCCCGTGGGGTGGGGGGCGATGGGGGAGTGGGGGTGGTTCGGGCCCTCCATCCCCTGACAGCGACCCCGCCTGCTCCGCGGGACGCCTCGCACTCACCTTGAAACGCCTGGGCCCCCCGCACCGGCAAAGGCAGCCTCAGGAACAGCAGCAGCAACAGCCATGCCCGCGACCCTCGAGCTCTCGGAGACCCCCGGCCCATAGCTGTGCGCGCCTCGGCCTCCACGCGGCCGCTCCCGGCTCCGGCTCCGGCTCCGCCCGGGCTGGCTCCTGGCCGACCCACACCCAGAGCAGCCCGCCCGCCGCCCCCCGACCCCCCAGCGCCGCCCCGCACGGAGCCCGGCAGCCCGGCCGCCGGACCTCGTGCGCCCTCGGGGGGCCGCCGCGGCCGTCAAGGGTGGGAGCCGGCCCGCTGCATCCGTGCGGCCCCTCGGGGACCCGCGCGCGCGCAGCGCCCTCTCCTCGTGGGGGCGGAGCGGGGGTGGAGTGGGGATGGGGCGGGGCCCTCGGAGGAGCCTTTGAGGGCCACGGGGGTGGGGGGGAGACCAGGGCTGGGGGCCACCTGCGGCTGCTCGGGTCTGCGCAGGGAGCGCCCCCTTCCGCGGTCTCCGGCGAGGACCTCGGCCCCGCCTGGCCCCCAGTCCTGCTCAGGGGGGCCCTGGCCAGGGCCCGGCGGGAGAGTGCCTCGGGCGGGGGGCGGGCACCCGCGGGGGGCAGGTGCCGTGGCGTCTCGGGCTCGCGTCCGCGTGGCGGTGGCCGCCTGCCCCGGTGCCCACGTCGCGGGGGGGGGCGCGGGGGGGCCGCCGCGCTGCGGGCTCGGTCCCCTGCAGAGGTGAGGCGGCCCAGGGGCGCGCGGGGGCGGGGGGCGGGGGTAGCGCTGGGCCCTCGCGGCGGCGGGAGCGAAGAGTTGCGCAAAGCAGACTCCCAGACTGCGGGGGGGGGGGGGGGGGGATGGATACTTCCTTCTCTGGCAACATCTGTTTCTTCTTTTAAAGGTTTGTGTACTGAGTAGTTAAGTTCGGAGAGTAGCCAGGATTCTGATAGCGAGGGATGTTAACTTTTTAAAATGAAATTAATTAATTAATTAATTGAGGGGGGTAGGTAAGTACGAGGGGGAGGGAGAGGGAGAGAGAATCTCAAGCAGACTCCGTGCTGACCGAGGAGCCTGGACTCAGCCTCACCACTGGACAGAGCGACCTCAGTTGAAACCAAGAGTTCCTCGCTCAACCAAATGAGCCACCCAGGAGCCCCAAGAGGGTTGTTAATTTTAGGCAAAGCTACTTGTTTTTGAGATCAAATGCGGTGGTCAAGTTAGGAAGAGTTCCTGCAGTGCCGGAAACCTCTGTTAGTTTGATTCAAACATTAAAAATACCGTAAGGTGTTAAGCGGTCAGCCCTGCCTTTTCTGCCATCCTCTCAGCCCACATCCCCCAACTAACGCGAAGCCACTATCCTTAGCTTCTTGTGTAGGCTTTAGATTATTTTATGCACGCAAGACAATACAGACCTATTTTTTCTTAACACTTCTCTGCGTAGCAGGCTAGGTGATGGGGACTTTTCTCTGCACTTTTTTTCCTCCACTTACCACACTTTGCAGATCCTTCATATCAGTGCATTTAGAGTGGCCTTATGGTTGTTACTGTTATCCTATTACTTTGGGCTTTAGATAGGATTTACATACAATAAAGTGCACCTGTTCTAAGTGTCCAGTTAGATGAATGTTATAAATTCATATGCCTCTGTAATCACCGCTGTAATCAAACCAAGTAAGAGTTTGTCCACACTCTGGGCAGTGAGCTAATAAAACTGACACTGAGCTTTTGCAGGGAAGAAGGATAGGCGATTTATTGGTATAGCACCACCCAAGGAGAGTGGGAAGCTAATGCTCTAAAGTCCCAAACTCCCCAACAGCTTGCAAGTGAAAGTGTTTAAGTGCAAAATTGGGGGGCAGGGGTGTCCTGAGAAGGTGGGTGCCTTTGACTGGAGGCCCATGAGGTCAGGTTAGCAGGTGTTCTGGTGCAACTTTGTCCGGTCCTCTGGGAAGTCTTTTTCATCTCAAGCAACTTAGAATCTGAGAAGTATATTTATTCTTTATGATAGAGGTTTCATTAAGTACATCCAGTGATAATATCTTCAGGATAATGCTGATTAAGCTTGGAAGCTACTGGGATGAATTCCTGCAGGTTCCTTGGCCTGTCTAACCCAGCTATGCCTGGAGACAATAGGACTTCCAGTGTCCATTCTTTCTGCACTGGTGAAGTGGATGCTGGCTTCAATTTCCATCGCCCCCAAAAAGTTCCCCTGTGTCTCTCCCCAGTCACTCTCTCCCACTCCCAGCCCCAGGAAACCACTGATGTGCTCTGTGTCTATACATGAGTTTTGACTTTTCCAGAACTTCATATAAATGTTATCATAAAGCATGTACTCTTTTATGTCTGGCTTCCTCCTCTCTGTTTTTGAGATTCATTTACATCGTTTCGTGATCAGTAATTTGTTCTGTTGTAGTGCCAAGTATGTTCTGAGGGGAGCAGGGATTCTCTATTCTCCAGTTTGGCATTTGGGTTCTTTTCTGGTATGAGACTCTTCTACATACAGCTGCTGTGAAGTTGCTGTGAAGTCTTTGTATGAATACATGTTTTCGTTTCTCATTTCTCCTTTGTCAAGACCCGGAAGTCGGATGGGTCACATGGCAAGGACATATTTAAGTTTTAAAGAAATTCTTCTCCAGGGGCACCTGGGTGGCTCAGTGGTTGAACATCTGCCTTTGGCTCAAGTTGTGATCACAGGGTCCTGGGATCGAGTCCCACATTGGGCTCGTCGCAGGGAGCCTGCTTCTCCCTCTGCCTATGTCTCTGCCTTTCTCTGTGCGTCTCTTTGAATGAATGAATGAATGAATAAATAAACAAATAAATCATCTTTTAAAAAAAGAAACTATTTTCCAAAGTGAATGCACCATGTTGCATTCCCACCAGCATTGTAGGAGAGTTCTAGTTCCTCTGCATCCTCACCAGCACTTAGTGTTGTCAGCCTTTTTGATCTTATTCTAGTGGGTGTGCATCTCCACTGTTTTTCTATAGTTGAATGTTTCCACTTGTTCGTATAGTCCCCTCTTGGGCATATAAATGGTTTCCAGGGATCCCTGGGTGGCGCAGCGGTTTAGCGCCTGCCTTTGGCCCAGGGCGTGATCCTGGAGACCCAGGATCGAGTCCCACGTCGGGCCCCCGGTGCATGGAGCCTGCTTCTCCCTCTGCCCATGTCTCTGCCTCTCTCTCTCTCTCTGTGACTATCATAAATAAATAAAAATTTTAAAAAAATGGTTTCCAGCCCTTCCGCTACTTGCAAATCATGCGGTGATGGATAATTTTATACACAAACTCATCTGTGAGATAATTTCCTACAAATGGGTTTCCTGGGTCAAAAGATACGTATTTTATGATTTAAGAGGATACACTTAAATTGCACTACAATTTGTGCAAATTATAGTTGCGCCAGCAACATCTAGAGTGCTTCTTTGCCCACAACCTTACCAACACAGTTCTCAAACCATGTTATGCTTCTCTGAAGGTGAAAGGGCAGTCTTATGTTTGCATTTCTCCTAGCAGTGAGCTTGGATAACTGTTCAAACATTTAAGAGCCATTTGTATTTCCTGTTACCTGAATTGCCCGTTCATAGCCACAGCTCATATTTCTATTGAGCTGTTGATCTTTCTTGTAACAACTTGAAGGAACTTTTTTATAAGGGAGATTCCTCTTTTGTCTGGAGTGTGAGCTGCAAATATTTTTCACAGTTTGTGAAATGCATTCAGCCTGTTGTGTGTGGCTTTAGGTTCAGTTGTTTTCATTGCTAATTAGCACCCAATTGTGTGAATATAACATTTTTTTCATTGATTCTACTGTTGCTGGACATTAGGGTGGTTCCTAGTTTTGAGATGTTAACAAAAAATGCTGCTGTGGCAGTGTTCACAATAGCCAAACTGTGGAAAGAGCCCAGATATCCATTGACAGATGAATGAATAAACAAGATGTGGTGTTTATATACAATGGAATATTCCTCAGCCATAAAAAAATGAAAGAGAAAGAAAGAAAGAAAGAAAGAAAGAAAGAAAAGAAAGAAGAAGAAAGAAAGAAAGAAAGAAAGAAAGAAAGAGAAATCTTACCATTTGCGACGACCTGGAGGGAACTAGAGGATATTATACTAAGCAAAATAAGTCAATCAGAGAAAGACAATTATCATATGATCTCACTCATGTAGAATTTAAGAAACGAAACAGAGGAGCATAGAGGAAGGGAGGAGAAAATAAAACAAGATGAAATCAGAGAGGGAGACACACTAAGAGACTCTTAAACATAGAAAACAAACTGAGGGTTGCTGGAGGGGTGGGGGATAGAGTAACTGGGTGATGGGCATTAAGGAGGGCAAATGATAGAATGAGCACTGTATATTATACACAACGATGAGTCACTGAACTCTACCTCTGAAACTAATAAAACACTACATGTTAATTAATTGAAATTAAATTAAATTTTTAAAAAACAAAATATAGAGCATTGCCACAAAAAAAAAGTGCTGCTATAGACATTTATGTGCATGTGGCCTCACCTTCCTGCCTTTGCCTGTCTTGCTCCCTTTACTGATTCCCCCTTGGAGCACAGCCTGACATCGCTTGCACATGAAACTTCATGCTGGGGAACCAGACCTAATATAGACATAGACAGCTTTGGTCATGCTGGGGCTCCCTTGTGGGCAAGGCTGGAGAGACATCAACTCCTCCCTTTGTGGATGATGAAATGGGTTCACCACAGGTGCTGCTAGCAGCAGAGGCCACCCTTCCAGCACAGAATTCCCTGATCCAAAGGCTACATGAGCAAGGATTGGGGGTGGGTGGGCAGAGAGCAAGGCATTTTGTCACACCCTGGATCCATTTTGTTATCTTTTAGGGAAGATTTGGGGAAGAATCAGGGTGGACGAGACATCTAGGCTTCCATCTTGACCCAGGAAAACAACAAGAGATTAAAAAAAAAAAAAAAAAAAAAGGATCATGAGGAAGGGGAAATGATGGAGACATAGTCCTCACCATGGTAAAGGGGTCCTGAAGAGGAAGAAGAGAGAGGCAGCTAAGAAAGCCCCAGAGATTAGGAAAGCAGGACAACACCAAATGTTCAGCCTGGAAGGACCTGGTGAAGACTTGGAGGTGGATTGAGCCCTAAATAAGCTGGGGGTCAGGAAAGCAGAGCAGGCTCCCAGAGCAGCCAGACTCTGAACACCAGTGGGAGGCTACAGTGTGGGAGGCAGGGCCCAGTCCTCTGGGGGAGAAAATAGCAAACTGGTGAACTCCTCTTCCTACTACAGATCTAGGCTTTGGTGCCTCTTTGTCAAGGGGGTCCTTTCTGACCCAACGCCTGGTCACTCTTCCCTGCATATACTTCTCCCTGCCCATTTCCTTGTCTCTCTTCCCCAGACCCTGAGCTCCATTGGGTCTGGGGCTGTCTTTGTTAACTGCCTGGCACAGGATTGGGCACCCAGACAGTGCTAATAAAAGAAGATGAACATGTAGCCTAAGAGCCATGTGGGAATTGGAGCCATCCTTGCAAAGTGGACGCCTCCCCAATCCAGATGAGCTATGCCCAAATATATCTGAGGAATTTTCTGCAGAAATCTCAGAGCAACTATTTATTTGGCGGTTGCAGAAGAGAGGGTGGGGCCACTGAACCCTACAAGTAGCCACTGTGGGAAAGACGATTTCTCGAGTGGCTTGCTAGAGTCATTCTCCAGAGGAACGTTGGAGAGTGTCACGGAAAGAAGGCAAGCCAATGAGAGTTAAATCTTTGAAGTGCTCACGTAATGGGTGACGTTCACCATGTGTAAACAGGACTCTTTCTGTGACCCCAGAACAGGGGTCACAGAGTGACCCACAACAGGGTGACTATAAACGTTTTCCTACAAGTCTCACAGTAAACGCAGCCCTTAATTCTTCTGTGTAAAATACCCTGGGGTGGAATGTCAGGGTCATAGGGCAGGAGTATTTTAGCTTTAATAGATTACGTCAGATAGTTTTCCAAACTCATCATGCATTCTATATGATTCTATTTTTTTTAAGATTTTATTTATTTATTCATTAGAGACACAAAGAGAGACAGGCAGAGACAGGCAGAGGGAGAAGCAGGCTCCATGCAGGGAGCCCGACGTGGGACTCGATCTCGGGACTCCAGGATCACGCCCTGGGCCGAAGGCAGGCGACAAACCACTGAGCCACCCAGGCTGCCCTATATGATTCTATTTATATAAAATTCAAGGGGCTCTTGGGTGGTTCATTCAGTTAAGTGTCTGTCTTCAGCTCAGGTCATGATCCTGGAGTCCCAGGGTCAAGCCCCACATTCTGTCGGGCTCCCTGCTCAGTGGGGAGTCTGCTTTCCCTCCACCCCTGACTCTGATCGTGCTTTCTCTCTCTCAAATAAATAAATAAATAACATCTATAAAATAAAATAATAAATAAATAAAATAAAATTCAAAAACAGGCCAATCAAATCTATGGTATTAGATATTTTTTTTTAAATTTTTATTTATTTATGATAGTCACATGAGAGAGAGAGAGAGGGAGAGGCAGAGACACAGGCAGAGGGAGAAGCAGGCTCCATGCACCGGGAGCCCGACGTGGGATTCGATCCCGGGTCTCCAGGATCGCGCCCTGGGCCAAAGGCAGGCGCTAAACCACTGCGCCACCCAGGGATCCCTATGGTATTAGATATTAAGAGAGTAGTTAACTCAGGGAGGGGCTTGCAACTGGGAGGGTGCTCAAGGGAGTCTCTGGGGTGCTGGTGATGGTTTGTTTCTTGATCTGGGTGCTGGTTTTATTTTTTAGAAAGTCATTGAGTTGTATACTTACAATGTATGCAGTTTTCTGTATGCATGCCACATTGAATTAAAAGTCTATTTAAAAAAGTCTTGAGGGGGCAGCCCTAGTGGCGCAGCGGTTTAGCGCCGCCTGCAGCCCGGGGTGTGATCCTGGAGACCCAGAATCGAGTCCCAGGTCGGGCTCCCTGCATGGAGTCTGCTTCTCCCTCTGTGTCTCCACGTCTCTCTCTCACACTCTCTCTGAATAAATAAATAAATAATCTTTAAAAAAATCATTTAAAAAAGTCTTGAGGGATGCCTGGGTAGCTCAGCAGTTAAGCACCTCCCTTCGGCTCAGGGCGTGATCCTGGGGTCCCGGGATCGAGTTCCGCATCAGGCTCCCTGCGTGGGACCTGCTTCTCCCTCTGCCTGTGTCTCTGTCTCTCTCTGTGTATCTCTCATGAATAAATAAAATATTTTTAAAATAAAAATAAAAAATAAAATAAAAAAGTCTTGAGGTGCTGGATGTCTTGGTGGCTCAGTGGTTGAGCATCTGCCTTTGGCTCCGGAGGTGATCCTGGGGTCCTGAGATCGAGTCTCTCATGGAGGTTCCCTGCACGGAGCCTGCTTCTCTCTCTGCCTCTGTATGTGTGTGCGTCTCATGAATAAATAAAATCTTTAAAAAAAAGTCTTGAGGGCCTTGTACCTCTGGGGGTGGACACAACTAACCTCTCTGAGAACCTTCCAATCCCAGGTGGACCTATGCCTCCGTGGAGATGCACAGATGCAATCCTCCCCTCACCGTCTCTTCCCTGGACAGCCTAAAAACATCTGGCTGCATTTGGCTTGCTCTCTCTCTGTCCCACCTCTGGATTTAGTGCACACTTTCTACCCCCTCACTCTACAACAAATGCAGAAAATCAGTGCTTACTAAGACCTCACGTACTGCGTGCCAAGCAGGGTGTTGGTCATGTGGACAGAAGAGGTGAGCCACACCTAGAGCCTCAAGGAGCAGGAAGGAGCACAAATCTCTTGAGTGCAAGATAGTTTGCGGCACATGTCATGTCGTTTGCACTTGCTGGCCAGTTCCAGCAGGCAGTCTGCCAGAAGGAGCTGCATTCACATTTAGATCTTCTGTGTTCACAGGCGGCAGTTTGGGTTGTGAGAAGGAGACTCACTCCAGTCACGCCACAGAATGGCTGTTTATTGGAAGGACATGCCAGACAGGCTCCCAGGAAGAGTCTGGCAATCAGGCACTACGAGAAATGGGACCTGGGACCAGGAAGCTGCTCACTGGCTGTGATTACATGGAGCATACCCGGCCTCCCAATCTGTGAGCCTCTCTGACAACTCCCCGGTACTCTCCCAAATTCCAGGCAGGCTTTTTGCTCCTCCCATCATTTGCCACCAGGCTGGGATGGGAGTCACCAGACCACCCAAGAACTAGCTCCTCTCAGGCACTGACTTCACAGGAGCAAGCTATTCCTTCTTTGTGACCCTCATTCCGCTTAACAGCCTCTGGCACACAAGCCCCCGAGGGAGAGGGAGGGGGCACACTTGATCACTGATGAGACCACCAAACCATCCTGATTTCCTCAGCCTTAATGTGTGAGAGGGACCACCTCCTCTGGGAAACCCAAGAACAGAATGACCAGAGACATGTCCTGGCTTTCAGTAGATGGGCACTAAAAATGTAGCCTGCTGGCAGCAACCTCACCAATGCCAGAAGTCTCAGGGTTGAGGCCATGGTTGGGAGTCCTTTGTAAATAGAATAAAAACTACATTTCCGAGAATCCTTTACAGCTTGGGGTGGCCACGTGACTCAATTCTAGCCAATGGGGAGTGACTGGAAATGACTGGTGAGTTGTGGATTGTGTCCACAATGGGAATCAGTGTGCCTTCAACTTACATGGTTTCCACTTCTTGCTGGATGAAATGTGAACACAGGGGGGGCCAACCGTGAACCTCACAATCAAAGGTAACATTTCAGGGGTGGAGAAACATCAAATAGAAGGATCTCAGATTCTGACACCTTAAACTACTATAGCATACCCAAATTAGTATGGGAGAGAAAAACAAAATTCCCTCATGTTGAAGTTACTGTATTTGGTCTCTTCTTAGAGCAGCCTAACTTCTACTCTAGCTAATACAGAGTGCTTTGACCAGCCTGTGAGGATGTAGGAAGCTCCTCTCCTTTTCTAATCCATCTAAGAAGTCCAGGGTGGACTTGGAGGAAGAAGATGTGAGGGGCAGTCCACTGGAAGATAAAGAGAGGAATCAGAAAAGGAAAAGAGAAATAGACAACATGGCCAGTTCATTTCTCCTCAGAGTCCCCCAGGGTCAGCACTCTCCTGGGTAAATTAGGATTCACTTCCACTTCTCACTGCCCGTTTTTCTTGGCAAGGGGTTTGGAGCCAGGTCATAGAAAGTCGGATGATGTAGAGTTGTTTTCACAGAGGCAGTCGGGACTCAATGCTGCCTTGTTCACGAGGCCCAAGTCATCGGAGATTCTGGTGACCTCCTCCTCCTGAGGTTAGACAACACCACAGGTCAGTTCAGGGGCAGAGCACGGGACAAGGTCCCACATGTGACTGTATCAGGACTAATGAGCTTCCCACAGAGAAAATCCTGGTGACAGGATGACTCCGAGAGTGGTCATTGTCTGACCTCTAACTCTGGAGGGCAGTCTCCCAGACCCTAAACCTTGGGTAGAGGTCCCAAGAGGATTAGTGAGCATGTGCCTGGCTGGTAATGAGGCTATGAGCCCTGACCCACCAAATGGATGATCTGCAGAAAGGGACACATCATAAGGAAGGGAAAACAGACTTTCACCCCTGCCCAGGTGGTGGGCAGACTCTGGAGTGGGGAAGAGAGAACCTGAAACACAGGTGGGTTTTCTGTTCCAAGATGTGTCTTGGGAGCGGCTACATTCAGAATGTCTGCCCCAGTTGCCCAGCCAGCAGGTCCCACAGAGAACCCAAAAGTCACCCAGGCCTGCAGGATACCTAAAGAAGTGCCCCTGAGGCAAGCATGGGACTGATATGTAGCCCATTCAGAATGTGGCTTCCCTATCTTTTCAGGGGCCCCTCTTTCTCTATATTCTCTATCCAATCTCCAGCTAGTCCCAGGGGCCATCCTATATATGAGAGCAGTCTCTAGGCGCCAGCCCCATGCCGTGGGTTAGCCAGGCATTGTGTCTGCCTGCGTCTACATGGTGGATGAATACCTGCATGGTTTCCTTCTGAGAAGTCATCTCCACCAAATTCTCACCCATGTTCAGTTTACGAAAATGCCTCCTGCAACAATAAGAGAGGACTCAGAGGGTCTCTCCCCTCCCTCTGCCTACCCCTGTCCCTTCCCATGACCCCAAGTACTTAGCCCCAGACTGCTCACTGAATAGAGCAGTGAGGGCATTGGAGGAAGTGAGGTACCCTCTCTTTCTTCTTTCCTTCCCAGCTCTTTCTTTATACAGACAGGGTCCAGATAAAGAAAGAAGAAAACTATAGCAAGATGTATTTAAAGATGATTCTAGAAGCAATTCCAAATTTGGAGCAGTGGGAGGAAAAGGGATGGGCTAGGAAATACAGAACCCATACATCTGGTAGGAGTGACAGGAGGGGATATTGAGGGGAAGGTGGGGAAGATGAGGTGACTCCATCCACCCCCAGCTCTGAATTTACCTCCAGGTGTAGAAGGCCCCCAGGCCCAACAACAGGAAGAGGAGGCCCACCAGCAGCCCCAGAAACCAGACTAGCTTCTGGAACAGACTCAGGCGATACAAGGCTGAAACACAGGGGTGAGGCTCAGGAGGCAGCTAGGGCTCCAGGGGCCTCCAGTGCTCCCTCCCCTGGTGACTCCCCCAAGATGAAAAGTATCTTAGTTTAGAAGCTTCCTCATGGGGCAGCCCCGGGGGCTCAGAGGTTTAGCGATGCCTTCAGCCCAGGGCCTGATCCTGGAGACCCAGGATCCAGTCCCACGTCAGGCTCCCTGCATGGAGCCTGCTTCTTTTTTTTTTTTTTTTTTTAAGATTTTATCTATTTATTCATAGAGACACACACAGAGAGAGAGAGAGAGAGGCAGAGACACGGGCAGAGGGAGAAGCAGGCCCCAAGCAGAGAGCCCGACACGGAACTCGATCCCAGGTCTCCAGGATCACGCCCTGGGCTGCAGGCGGCGCTAAACCGCTGCACCACCGGAGCTGCCCATGGAGCCTGCTTCTCCCTCTGCCTGTGTCTCTGTCTCTCTGTCTCTCTCTTTCTCTGTGTCTCAAATAAATAAATAAATAAATAAATAAATAAATAAATAAATATGAAAGAAAGCTGTAAAAAAAAAAAAAGAAGCTTCCTCATGCAAAGGAGTTTCACACAACAGGTCTAGACTAGTCAGACAAACTGATTATAGCAGAAGGGATTCAGAGATCTCAGAAGGAAGCCTCTGGACTCGAGAGCTGGGCCTTTCTACATAGGGACCTGGGAGATGGACCCCCTCCCCACCACCTACCTCTGGTTCCGAAATAGGTAGAAGCAGATGCAGATCCCAGGGCATTGGAGGCAGAACACACATATTCCCCCTGGTCACTGGGCCTCAGCTCCTCCATGTCCACCCTCAGGGCATTGGCAGTGGCTGTGACATGGATGTGTGGCTCTGCAGGAGCACCCCAGGGCTGGCTAGAGGCCACCAGCCTACTGCCGAGGTGGAGGCTCAGGCTGGCTAGGGGCTCACTGTCCACACGGCAGTCCAGGATGCCCTGGATGCCACTGTCAGGCTCCACAAAGACCGTCATGGTGGGCGTCTTGGGAGGGTCTGTGGGAACACAGGGGGTAGGTAGGATGCTTGCAGAAAACCACCACAAATTCCTCTCTTCCCTGTACCCATGCAAGACGACTTTGCCACTTGTTGCATTAAGAGGTATTATCTATTCCCCACCCCTTGATCTGTGACTTGCTTTGACCACTAGAAAGCAGAAGTGACATTATGTGGCTTCAGAGTTAGACCTCAAGGGGCCTCACAGCTTCTGACCTCTTACAAATATAGTCATGTGGGAAACCCAGGCCAGCCTGCAGGACCCATGCGGACCCGCCAGCAGCCAGCCCCCATGGCCAGCCACAAGGATGAAACCATCCTCCACCATCTAGCTTCAGCTCAGCCACTGGGCAACTGCAGCCACATGAGGCGAGGCCAGCCAAAGACCTGCCCAGTGCAGCCCAGCCTGAATTTCTGACCCAGAGAATTGTAAGCAAATAAAACAGCTGCTGTTTTAAGGTATTTTAGGGACATCTGGTGGCTCAGCCAGTTAAGAATCTGCCTTCGGCTCAGGTCATGATCCCAGGGTCCTGGGATCGAGTCCTGCATTGGTCTCCCTGCTCAGTGAGGAGCCTGCTTCTCCCTCTCCCTCTGTCCCACTCCTGCTAATGCTCTCTCTCGCTACGTCTCATTCTCTCTCTCTCAAATAAATAAATAAATAAATAAATAAATAAATAAATAAAATCTTAAAAAAAATAAGCTCTCTATTTTGGAGTGGCTTGCTATTGCAGCCACCACTGGCTGATACAGCATGGGGCATTGATGAGGCACGGAGTAGGGCCCCAGGCACTCTGCGTGTAGCATCCTCTATACTCCTGTCTGACATTTTACCCATGAGGAAAGCAAGGCAGGTATGCACAAGGTCACACAGTCAGCCAAGCCAGCAGGAGCCTTCCAAGCCCGTACTCCACACCTGCAAAGTCTTTGCTCTTTGCAGACAGAAGAGGAGGAGGATCTGAGGTGGGCAGGTGAGGTGTGGATAGACTGAGGCAGGGTGTGGGGTGTCATACTCACATAGCACACGGAGCAGGACGGGAGCAGAGACACTGGCCCCACTGGGGAGCTCAGCCTGGCAGTGGTACAGCCCAGCTTGGGCACGGGCCACGTGGGCGAAGGCAAGGGTGGCCACAGGCTCCACATCTAGCCGCTGGCCATTCCAGAACCAAGTGAAGGTAGAGTTGCCCATGGGCGTAGGGCCACCAGGGAGCTGGCAGCTCAGATTCAGTGGTGCACCCTCAGGCATGTCCAGCCCCGGCTCGGCCACCACATGCACACCTGTGGGCCGGGGCCAGGAGGCGGTCAGGGATCTGCAGGCTCTCGGAGCTGGAGTCCCTGGGTGGGATCTGGGCATCTGAGAGGTCTCTGTGCATTATGGGAAGGTCTGTTCTGATTTGGGGCCCCCGGAGGTGAGACTGTCTCTCCCATAAGACTGTGATCTCTTGCACTGGGGACCTCTGAGACAAGGTTGTGTATCTCTTAACAAGACAGGCTTTCTGATGGACAAGCCTGGGTTGGGTCCTGCTTTCAGATGGAATGCCCCCAAAGGTGAGACTCCACCTCATCCCTCACACTGAGCTCCCTAAAGGTAGGGCTCTGTCTCTCTTCCCACCCCACGCTTCCCCAGAGCAGGTCTGCCTTCACTCCAGATGGGTTCTGTGAGGGCAGGGTGCTGTCTCCCCTGCATCTGGGGGTACCCTTAGCACTGCTACAGCTCTACCCTTGTAGGGGGTTCCCCAAGGACAAGGGTTTCTTCCCTTCAGGCTGGCCAACCGCTTCCAGAGAGCTGTTCCTCTTCCATCAGATGGGGCGAGGCTCCATCTACCCATTCTTTTAGGAGCTCCACCACTCATATAAACACATGGCATGGCCAGAGCCCCACTGAGCCTGAGCCCCTTCTCCCCCCTTTACCCACTCACCTTCTGCCTGCAGCTGACCCGTGGTGCTGACTGAGCCCAGGAAGTTGTGGGCTGTGCACACGTAGGTGTCCTTGTCACCTGAGGATGCATCTGGCACCTGCAGCCGCAGGGCATTGCGGGCCACCTGGACATAGCCTGTCCCCGATGCCAAGCTGTGGACCCCATGGCTGGTGGCCAACACTTTGCCATTGAGGGACAGGGCCAGCTCAGCAGGTGGCTCACTGTCCACAGTACACTGTAATACGGCCATGGGGCTGAGCCTCGAGTCCCGAAAAGACGACAGGATCACACCCCGAGGGGCATCTGGGGGCACGACAGGACACAGTTAGGGGCCTTGTTTGGCAACCCTGTGCCATCTACAGCCTACCTGCCTGGCAATGGTGAGGCTGAAGCCTCTGGACAGACGGTCACTTCCTAGAAGTGACACCTTGTGGGCAGATTCCCCCAGGCAGGGTTCACAGGGCCCTAGGGTCTCTCCTCTCCTCACCTATGTCCTTCTTTTCCCAGGTGCCCATTCTGAGGTCCACTACAGTCCTGTGTCCACCCCCATGAAGGCCTAGAGGTGCCCTCCTCCAGCTCTCATCCTCAGCATCCCCAGCCAAGGACCCCTACTCACAGTGGACTTGCAGGGCTATGGGCCGGGAGCTGCGAGTGCCCTGAGCATCCTGGACCTGGCAGGAGTAGGCACCTGCATGAGCCCGTGTGGCTGCCGGGAACGAGAGAGAGGCGGCTGGCCCCTCCTGCAGCCAGCGGCTGTTGTGGTACCAGGTGTAGAGACAGGGCGGGCGGGCAACAGGGTCTTCACAGGTCACCGTGATGGGGGTTCCCTCGGGCACAGCAGCTGATGGAGCCAGGGTCACCTGCACACCTGCACCAGGGAGATCAGGATCACCAAGGCCCAGCTGGATGCCACAGCTGGTCCTTCCCCTCCTAGGCTTGGCCTGGGCCCTGTCTCACCCTCTAGCCGCAGATCCAGGGATGTATTGGCCTGGCCCAGTGGACTGTGGGCAGAGCAGCTGTAGAGACCCTCGTCGCGGGGCCCAGGCTCCCACAACTCCAGGCGCAGGGTGTTGGGGACAGAAGCCATAGTCGAGGAGGCCAGGAGGCGGCCAGCATGGCTGAGGGCCAGCTGAGCAGGTGGGCGGCTGTCCACAGTGCACAGTACCTGGGCCAGCCGTCCACCACGGCTCTCTAGGAGGTAGGTGAGGCGCAGGCTGCGGGGTGCATCTACAGGGACCCAAAGAAAAGTTCAGAGACCGCAGTCAGGAGGCCAGTTGGCAGGATTCAAAGCGGGAGGGCCCTGGCTCCCCATCCCAAGGGCCCCCAACTGCCCAATCGAGGGCTCTGCTCCTCTACCCACAGAGAACCTTTCCCTTCTGACCCCCAACTCAGTGCTCCCTGTCCTGAGCTTCATCACATGGATGGGGGCTGAGTTCCTGGGTTGGACATCTGTGGGACTCTGGCCATGCCCTTGATCCCTGTGGGCTGCTGTCATTCCTTTTTGCCCTATCCTGCATCCAACCAAACTCACAGAGGACATCCAGAGTGACAGGTCTGGAGAGGTGGGGTGCCTGGCCAGGCCTCACTACACCACAGCGGTAGGAGGCAGCATCCATGACTGTGACATTGGGCAGAAGGATGGAGAGGGCACCTGGGCGCTGCTGCCCATCACGGTACCAGGTGTAGGTGGGCTGAGTCAGGTTGGTGGTCCACACAAGGCAGGTCAGGTTCACCAGCTGCCCCTCCTGCACGATGGCCTTGGGCCACACATGCACACTCACAGCTGGGGAGAGGGAAAGACACGGGGACACCAGTGAGATTTGTAAAGCTGTGTAAAGCAAGCCACTTGTCTCCATGAGGGAGGGAAGCCTTTTGCCTCTGGGAGGCACAGGCTGCCCACCTGCACAGGGGGCTCGAGGTCAAACTTGGGAAACAGCTCACCATCTCTCAGGTGGCTCCAAGCATGGTTCTACAGGGCCCCGGAGTGCCCTGAGCCCGCCCTGACCCTGGTGGGGGGCACATAGGAGAACATGAACCTCCCTGCCCTGTGGTATTTTCTCCTTGAATACCTCCCACTTCTGCCACTTTCTGATTAGCTTTATCACTTGGACGTCGAGGCGATCATCTGTTTTTTAAAAAGGCTCTTTCATGAAAGCCAAGTCTGGAGTTTACTGCCCTTAAAGGAAGCTGGGAATGGAACAGTCCTGCTTAGCTCGCCTGCCCACCTGCCCGTGCCTCAGGCTTCCAGATGCTCTCCAGCCTCCTCTACTCTCTTTCTCTCTCTTTTAAAGACTTTATTTATTCATGAGAGATACAGAGAGAGAGAGAGAGAGAGAGAGAGAGAGAGGCAGAGACACAGGCAGAGGGAGAAGCAGGCTCAGCGCAGGGAGCCCAACATGGGATTTGATCCCAGGTCTCCAGGATCACGCCCTGGGCCGAGGGCAGGCGCTAAACCGCTGAGCCACCCAGGTTGCCCCTCCTCTCCTCTCTTAAAGGAGCCACCCATGCACACACTCACACTCTGACACTGACCCTGGGCATCGAAGGTGGCAGAGGCTGAGGCCTGGCCCAAGGTATTGTTGGCCTGGCAGGTGTAGACGCCCTCATCCTCCAACACTACATCATGGATCTCCAAGCGAAGTGTGTTGTGGGCCACAGTCACCTGCAGCCGGGGAGAGCTACTTGCAAGCTCCCCCACACCTTGTAGGGTGGAGGCCATGAGGTGGTCCCCGTGGAGCAGTCGTAGGTGAGCTGGAGGGTCACTCTTCACACGGCACAGGAGGAGGCCCAGTCGCCTGGGGCCTGTGTCCATCAGGGTGGTAAGCGTGGCCTGGCGAGGGGCATCTACAGGAGGCAGGGAGTGGCCAGGACACCTGGTTCCTCATCAGGTGCTCTCTTGTGGAGGCAGAGCCCAGGGCCAGAGCTCCCTCAACCCATCCTCCAGCGGTACCCTTGTTTCCTTCACCCTCCCCCCACCCCCAAGAAACACAGAAGGATGAGAGCTTACAGGACACGTGGAGGCTGACAGGAGCAGCCAGGCTCATGGTGGCTGAGCCTGGAGCCTGGGCTCGGCAATGGTAGGCCCCAGCCTGGCTCAAAGTAATGGCTGCAAAGCGTAGTGTGGCCGAGTTCGACTCTGGGAGGGGCTGGCCATCCTGATACCAGAGGTATGAAGTCCCCTCCAGGACCCCTGGGGGCACCTGGCAGCTCAAGACCACAGCCTGGCCCTCCCGGAGCTCAGGTGATGGGGACACCTGGACCCACGCTTCTGTAGGGAGAAACCAAAGGCAGGTAAGGGCCCTCTGGCCCAGCACCCTCCCCCAGTCTGGGACTGTGGGTAGGTCCACACCAGGACTGCATGATCCCAATTCTATGTTCTGGAGCCACAACCCCTCTACCAGACGGCCAGCAAAGGTCCCACTTCAGCTCCATGCCTCCTCCTGTCCTGCTCCCAACTCCCCTGCACTGGGTTTCTCCTGGCCTTTAGCACCTACCACCTTGAGCAACAGATTTGTTCTGTCATTCATCTCTCACCTACCAGAAGGCCAGCTTGCGTGACCTCTAACCCTGTGCCAGGCACAGTGCCTGCCCAAGTTTGCTCTTAACAAATGCTGGTTTGAGACGCCTGGATGGCTCCGTGGTTGAATGTCTGCCTTCAGCTCAGGTTGTGATCCCAGGATCCTGGGATGGAGTTCTGCATCAGGTTCCCCGCAGGGAGCCTGCTTCTCCCTCTGCCTGTGTCTCTGACTCTCTTTCTCTGTCTCTCATGAATAGATAAATAATTTTTAAAAAACGCTGGTTTGGGACACCTGGGTGGCTCAGTGGTTGAGCGTCTGCCTTGGGCCCAGGGCATGATCCTGGGATCTGGGATCGAGTCCCACATCGGGCTCCTTGCAGGGAGCCTGCTTCTTCCTTGACCTGTGTCTCTGCCTCTCTCTCTGTGTGTGTGTCTCTCATGAATAAATAAATTTAAAAAAAATTTTTTTTAAATGCTGGTTTGACCCCATCAAGCCCTGAAATGGAAGGGGCTTGTGTAACATCGAGGGCCATTGTTCTGCTAGAGAACTGGACCCAGCATGGGTGACCCGGGGCTTGGAGGGGAAGTTAGCCACTGTGTGGTTTTGAGTCTTCTCCAGCTCAGCTCCGCACCCAGGCTCCAAGTCATGAGAGCCCAAGAACTGGGGACCAGGCAAAGGGCAATCCCGGCATCCCCTGGGTCCCAAGCAGGAAGAGACCAGGGTCGGGGAGTGAAAAGGAGGGATACTGGAGTGGTGAGAGCAAAGGCTGTGCCTGGAATCAGAACCAAATCAATCTAGAGCTAGCTAGTCATGTGACCATGAGCAAGCTTCTGAAACTGGCCCTCAATGTCTCTGCCAGTGAAACGTGTATGATACATAAGAAAAGACATATAGAACCAAGGCCCAAGGACAGTGTTCAAAAATTGATGTTTATCATTGTGGGAGAAAAAAAGTGTGTTTTTCTTTGGCCTTTGCAGAATTATGGGTACTAACTTTCCCTTTTCTTGGCTTATTCACTTAGGCAGGATTTTTTTTTAAGATTTTATTTATTTATTCATGAGACACACACACACACACACACACACACACACAGAGACAGAGACACAGGCAGAGGGAGAAGCAGGCTCCAGGGAGTCCGACATGGGACTCAATCCTGGGTCTCCCGGATCACACCCCAGGCTGAAGGGGATGCTAAACCGCTAAGCCGCTGGGGCTGCCCTAAAATAAAATTTCTATAAAAATCCTACCTAGGGGGCAGCCCTGGTGACGCAGCGGTTTATCGCCGCCTGCAGCCCAGGGTGTGATCCTGGAGACCCAGGATCGAGTCCCACATCCGGCTCCGTGGAGCCTGATTCTTCCTCTGCCTCTCTCTCTCTCTCTCTCTCTCTCTCCCCCTCCCCCTCATAAATAAATAAAAAACCTTTTTAAAAAAGGAAATTTTATTTTATAGAAATAAATTATATGTATAGAATTTATATATATGTATGTATAAAGATTATGATACATTCTTTTTATATGTGTATATATTTCTATGTATACATATATGTGCATATTCACATTCACATACATGTATTACAGTATATGTATGCATAGTATACATATGTCTTCGGTTGTGTATGAAAATTCTTGTTATGTAACAGGATTATATTACTATAAAAGAAGTTTCTGTAAGTGTTCCAACCAAACAAGGCACCTATGCGATTGTCACTGCCTCCTAGTGGTTGCCACAGTGATTGCAGGTGAAAATATTCAGCTGAAGACAGGCCTGCTGGCTAGCTAGAAACTCCCCTAATGATGACTGAAAAAGACTCACATTTCTATGCAAAGCCTGGCTAGAGTCGCCCCCAGGGCATTTGGATCTATCACATCTTTAGAGAACTAACACTCACCTCGGACCTGAAAGAAGAGAGAGGTGTTGGTGGATCCGAGGACATTTGTGGCCTCACAGCGGTAGCTTCCAGAGTCCCCAAGGCTCAAGTCTTGAACTTCTAGCTGCAGGAAGTTGGCTGAGACTTTGACCTGGAGACGGCCACGGAGGGAGAGCAGGGGCCCCAGGCTGGTGGCCAGGAGGCGCTCCTCATGGAACAGGGCCAGCTGGGCCAGAGGGCGACTGTCCACAGTGCAGATGAACACTACCATGTGACCCTGGCCCACGTCCAGGAGGGCTGACAGCTTTGGAGGGTCAGGGGGATCTGCAGACGGGAAGGGTTCAGGCCACTCCCTGCCCCTCCCTCTCCCCACACACAGTCCAAGCCTGCTCTGCCCACCCCCCACCTTGCTCCCTCCCCACTGACCACTCCTTCACCCTCGGAGTACCCAACCCTGTCCTGCACATCACCCACAGAGCACACTCAGGACCACCGGGGTGGAGAGCTGGGCCCCAGCCTCTGTGAGGATGCGGCAGGCGTAGACGGCAGCATCTGTTCTGGCCACAGGCAGCAGCGTCACAGTCTCCAGGGGGCCCTGGGTCCACAAGGCCCCATTCCGGAACCAGGAGAAGTTGGCAGGGCCACTGGCTTCCCGGCTCACACTGCAAGTCAGGTTGGCTCCAGTGCCCTCCAGCAGCGTGTGTGATGGCGTGATGACCAGGGTGGTGGCTGGAGAGCAGCCAACACAGGCCACCTGAGACAGGCCTCGCCTTGACTGCTTCCCCCCTGGAGTCAGGGCCCAGCCTCCCAGCCTGGAGAAGACAGGAAGGAGAACCCCTGGGGTGCCCATGGGGCAGGGAAGAAAAGCCAACTCCCACTGCCCAATGGGGGTGGTTTCACCTGATAGACCCGCCTTGGAGTGGGAGGGTTGCAGGGACCCACGTACCAGCCCCTGACCCTGAGCCGCCCATTCCCTGTGCTGACTCACCCTGGGCATCGAAGTTTGCAGAGGCAGAGGTGTTGCCCAGGGCATTGCTGGCCTCACACAGGTACACACCCTCATCCTCCAGCACTGGCTCACCAATTTCCAGACGCAGCAGGTTGGGGGCTCTGGTAACCTTTAGCCGCTGGGAACAGCCCCCACAGCCCAATGGCAGGGAAGAGGCCACAACGTGGTCCCTGTGGAGTAGCCGAAGCTGGGCTGGGGGGTTGCTGTCCACACGGCACAAGAGTAGCCCTTGACGTCTAGCCCTAACTCCTGAGGCATTGGGGTCCAGCTGAGCAGTGAACGTGGGCTGGCGTGGGGCATCTGTAGGGAGAAAGATCATACGTATTCATTCCATGGCCTCCACCAGGGTTCTCCAGGTCCACTCAAAGCACAGTAAACAAGGGCATGTACTCAGAGTTGCCATACACAGCTGTGTAGATTGTGCACTGCACAAGGACAACCAAACCAAAGTAGGTATTAGCCCATGCCCCTCATGCTAAGGTGTGCCCTAGTGCTATTTTGAGTCTTCAGAGGAAGGAATGCCATTTTCTATTTTGGACAAGGGCGTCATGTGGGCTAGCATAACATGCATAATGTTGTATGCTTCTGACACACTGAGTGTTGGCCCCTTAAGCTAATATGGAGAGCCACTCTTGACAGGACACAGACCCTGTGCTGAGAGGTTCTGCCTTTGTGGTTATGGGAGCCTGTGAGGGCACAGCCTATGGGTGAGCACATATATATCAAAGTATGGTGGCTAGGGCCCAGTCAAGACAAAGCTTGGATGTGGTGTCCATGATGCATCTGAGGCTAGAAGCAGAGGGCACTATAGGGGCTGGGGCTGAGGCTGAGGGAAGGGACATGGGGAGGCAGATAAAGCTCCAGCCTTGTTCCCCACATTTCAGTCCTGGGAAGACAGCTGCATGGCGCCCAGACCTGTGGCTGCCTTCCTGATCTAGACCCCAGGGCAGGGCAGTGGCAGGAGGGCCTGAGGGAGGTCGTGGTGGCTGGTGGGCTCCAGTGGGTTGACCCTCCCCACGGCTGGCAGGGGCTGGTGGGAAGACTGCTCACAGAGCACGGTGAGGATGGCAGGTGAGGAGGGGCCGCTGGCAGTGTGACCATCCTCAGCCTGACAGTGGTAAGAGCCGGCGTCGGTGCTGGAGGCCGCCGGGAGCTGAAGGCTGCTGTGGGGCCCCTGGTGAAGCAGAGCTCCGTTCCGGTACCAAGAGAAGCGGATGTCAGGCGTCGGGCTGAGACCACTCCTGCAGCTCAGTGTCACTCCTTGTCCTTCTACCACCTCTGCTGCGGGGCTGATGAGAAGGTGGGCCACTGGCAGAAGAGGGAGTGAAGGAGGCTCAGGTCCCCTGCACACCGGCAGCTCTGTGCCACCGACTGCAGGAAGACCTCCAGGGTTCTCCTCTCCCCCACATGACTGCAGGTAGGTCTGGACTTCATGGCATCAGCTCCATGAACCTCTTGATAATCAGGAGGGTGTGTCCTTGAAAGCCAATTCTGATCTGTTGGTAGTAGCTGGCTGCAGCATGGTTGAGGATTGTGAGCCAGAGCCCCGGCTTACATCAAAAACCTGGCCTGGTTGATGAGGTCTGTCTGCCATAGCCTCAAAAGAAGGGAATGGCAGTGCATACACTAAGATGTGGACAATCGTGCTTTTCTATTTTTCCTTCTGCATCTGACTCTTAGCCTGCCCCAAACATTTGATAAATAAAAAGCAAATGGATATGAAGGACCCTTCAAGTTCAGAGTCAGAATGTGCACGATAGGAATAATGCAACCTGCCGTGTTTCCCTTTAGCCTTGACTTCTGGAACCTCCCAGGTTGGGATGACTGAATAGTCCAGATCTTTGATGTGATTAAAAAAAAAAAATATATATATATATATATATATATATATATATATATATATATATATATAATCAACCAGCATGTTCATCCCATCAGCTAAGTCCTTGGGACTCCCAGGAGGAAGGCCAGAGCAAGCCTTCTCCTCCTGCCCTTCACCAGCACTACCCCACACCCCTGCCCCATGCCTGTCTTACCTTTAGCATGGAAGCCCACGGTAGAGGATGAATTCCCAAGGGAGTTGGTGGCGGAGCATGTATATTCCCCACTGTCAGCTGGCCCCAGGTTTCGGATCTCCAGATTCAGGGAGTTAGGGGTGGAGAAGACACTGAAGCGTGAGCTGTGGTCACCCTCCCCTTGGGTGGAGGCCAGGACAAGGCCATTGTGTGACAGCACCAGGGTGGCCAGGGGCTCGCTGACCACCGAGCAATGAAAGATGCCAACTAGCCCCTCCTGTGTCTCCAGGAAGGCAGTTAGATCCGGGGTAAGGGGTGGGTCTGTGTGGAGATGAGGAAATGACATTCACCATCAGACAGGAGCAATCCCGAATCCCCTTTTAATAGGCTATGATCCTGCACTTCATTTGTCCCACAAGGCTCTGCAAAGGGAGCAACTCCACAGATCCTGAGTGCCTGATGAATACACTTTTGTCCCTGGGTTGGGCAAATCACTTTGTCTTCTCAACCAGTAGTTGTGGCAACCCTGTGAGTGGGGGGTCAGGGTCCCTACTTTAAAGATGAGAAAACTGGGGCAAGTGGGTTGCTCAGTGGTTGAGCGTCTTCCTTTGGCTCGGGTTGTGATCCTGGAGTCCTGGGATTGAGTCCTGCATCAGGGTCCCCGCAGGGGACCTGCTTCTCCCTCTGCCTATGTCTTTGCCTCTCTCTGTGAGTCTCTCATGAATAAATAAATAAAATTTAAAACAAAATAAAGATGAGAAACCTGGTGAGGCACCTGGCAGTGGACAGTACCTCATCTAAGTGATCAAGGTGAATAACTACCAGCAATGGGACAGACCGACATCATGGGCCTTCTGATGGGATGTAGCAAGACAGATACAGCATCACAGCCATGGTGTTGCTGCCCGGGTGCAGAGGTTCAGTCTACTCAGTTCAGACAAATGTAAACCAAGGGACACCCACACAACAACTGGCCTGTGCTCTTTAAGTTTCACAAGAAATACAAGGAAAGGGGTGCCTGGTGGACTCAGTTAAGTATCTGCTTTTAGCTCAGGTCATGATCTCAGGGTCCCAGGATCCAGCCCCATGTTGGGCTTCCCGCTCAGCAGGGAGTGTGCTTCTCCCTCTCCCTCTGCCCCCCCCCACTCGTGTGCTCTGTCTCTCTTAAATAAGTAAATAAAAAGCTATTTAAAAAAGATAAAGAAAGAATGAGAGATGGTCTCAGATTAAAGAAAAATAAAGAGATGTGACAACTGAATGTAATGCAGGGTCCTGGTTTTGGCTCAGGTCATGGTCTCACTGTTGTGGGATGGAGTCTGCATTGGCTCCATGTTCAGGCAAGTCTGCTTCAGATGCTCTCTCTCTTCCTCTCTCTCTCTCTCTCTCTCTCCCTTCCTGGTCGCTCATGCCCTCTCTCTCCCAAATGAATAAATACAGTCTTAAAAAAAAAAAAAAAAGAATACCTCTGTATGATTCCAACTATTTGATTCTGAAGAGGCAATTTTTTTTTTTGCCTGTGGTTGCCAGGCACTCAACAGATAAATAGGTGGAGGACAGGGGATTTTTATGGTAGTGAAACTATTCTGTATGGTACTGTAATGATGAATACAGTGTTGGTTCAGTAATTGCAACAAACACGACACTAATCCAAGATGTCAATATAGGGAAAACTTTGCAAGGAAAGGATACATGGGAACTCTATACTATCTGCTCAACATTTTTGTAAATTTAAAACTATTTTTAGGGCACCCTGGGTGGCTCAGCGGTTTAGCGCCGCCATCAGCCCAGGGTGTGATCCTGGAGACCTGGGATCGGGTCCCACGTTGGGCTCCCGGTGCATGGAGCCTGCTTCTCCCTCTGCCTGTGTCTCTGCCTCTCTCTGTCTCTGTCTCTGTCTCTGTCTCTGTCTCTCTCTCTTTCTGTGTGTGTCTCATGAATAAATAAATAAAATATTTTAAAAATAAAAAATAACTATTTTTAAAAATAAAATCTACTGGGGGGCTACTGGGGGACTCCTGGGGGGTTCAGTCAGTTAAGTGTCCAATTCTTTTTTTTTAAAGACTTTTATTCATGAGAGACATACACACACACAGAGGCAGAGACACAGGCAGAGGGAGACCAAGAATTCAACTCAAATCATGATCTCAGTCAGGGTCATGAGACCAAGCCCACTCTGAGGCTCTGGGCCAGGTGTGGACCTGCTTAAGATGTCTCTCTCCTTCTCCCTCTGACCCTCATACCCCTGGCTCGCTCTCGCTCTCTCTCTCTCTCTCTCAAATAAAATAGAAATAGCAAATATACCAAACTCTTAACAAATGGGGAATCTAGGTTAAAGGTATGTGGCAATTCTTTGTATTCTCCTGGCAACTTTTTGTAAGCTTAACTTGTTCGACATGAAAAGTATTCTAAAATAGGAGAAAATTGAAGCCTAGGGAGGTCAAAGCTTGCCTATATATGCAGAGCGAAGATGTGAACTCAGAGCCAACCAAGCCCAGGACCCTAACCCTCTTGTGGGGTCCCCACCCTCCAACCAGGCCCTAGCAGTGTCCAGTGCCACCCTGCCCTGGGCACTTACAGCTGACCACCACGCTGACAGGGCCGGAGCGCTCTCTGCCATAGGCATTATGCACCTCACAGAAGTAGAAGCCAGTATCAGCCCTGGTGGTTGAGTGCAGCTGCAGAATGTGGCTGTGGGCATCCTCCAGCAAGACGTGGTTCTTGTACCAGCTATAGCGCAGCTCGCTGGGTGCTTCTTTGGGCAAGTTGCAGGTCAGTGTCACCGTCTGGTTCTCTAGGATAGGGCCTGCTGGGCTCACTTTGACCTCAGCCACTGTGGGGGAGGCAGAAGGTATGCTGGGGAACACCCAGCTGACTCCCCATGCACTGGGGTTGTAGCCAATCAGCCTAATCCCTGCATGTTCTGTATCAGACCCCTTCTGCAGCAGAGGCTTCTGGATGGGTGCTATATCTCTTTGTTCTGTTTACTGGGATTCTTGTGACATCCCACCCTGCCAGGGACTGAGGCAGAGCTAGGACTCGATACCCACGTCCCAGGAGGCACCTTGGCCTGGCTCTCTTCAGCAACAGTGGCCAGGACCCCTCCCCACCCTCTGGTCAAGACCCAGGCTCATGCAGGACTCACTGAAGATGTGGAGGCTGATGGGGGGTGAGACTGAGGAGCCCACGGCATTTCCAGCTTTGCAGGTGTAGTTACCAGCATCGCCCAGGGTTGCCTGGGACAACTTCAGCATACGACCCTGGACTTGGAGCTGCATCCCATCCTTGGTCCACTGCACAAAACTGACCTCAGGGTAGCTGCTGTTCACCTGGCAGGTGAGTATGACCAGATCACCTGGAAGGATGTTCCGCCCCGAGGGGCTGAGAAGGATCTCCACACCCTTAGGGGCATCTGTAAGACAAGATGGCGGCATCAGGTGAGGGGCCCAGGGAGGGCAGTGGTGACGCTTCTCACCTCTTTCAACATTCTGCCTAAGGAAGCCTGCCCAGATAATCATTAGGCCTTTCACTTCCCCTGTCAAGGCAGGCGCTGCCCCCACCTCATGAGGAGGTCTTGATTCCTTCCTTCTCCACTGAGGGCCTGACGATGCAGTGCTTGGCCTAGCGTCCAGCCTACATTGCCTTCTATGGCTTTCTGCTTCATGACACTGTCCACTGCCCTCAATTCTATTTGGGTATCGTGAACACTATAGTGCCTGCTTAGGTGGCCTGTAGTAGCTATTGGCAGGGAACAAAACACTTCAAGGAGGGGGCCAAAGGCAGAGTACAGAGAGCTCTGAGAATGGTTAACCCATTCATAAGGAGGGTGCCAAAAGGGCACCTGGGTGGCTCAGTTGGTGACATGTCTGCCTTCGGCTCAGGTCATGATCCCAGAGTCCTGGGATTGAGTCCCATATAGGGTTCCTGGCTCAGCAGGGAGCCTGCTTCTCCCACTTCCCTCTGCTCATACTCTCTCTCTTGCTATCTCTTTCTCTCAAATAAATAAATAAAATTTTTAAAAAAAGAAGGTCCCAACCATACAAAACAACTGCATTTCTATAAATCTTGTTCCAAAATGTAAATATGCTAATAAAACCTAATATTTTCAAGTGCTTAATCTAGGTAAATATGAAGATAACAGAAGCTAATATTTTAGAGCACTCCGTATGTGCCAAGCACTCCTTCAATTTCCATAACAGTTCCTTAAGATCTAGGAGTCTGCTTAGTAGAGGAAGACATAGAGGCTCTGAGGGGCAGGTAATTCACCCAGTTTGCTTAGCTAAGTGGTGGATCCAGGCAGCCTGAGGTCTGTGAATAGCAGTGGTTCTAGAACAGGCTTTCATGTTTTACTGTGAGGGGAAGACTCAGAATCAAGTAGAAACTCAGGTTTTCTTCCACCATCTCTTTGCCATGTCCAGGTGATACCCTGATCACCATGAGCAGCCTTAGGCAGGGAAGGGATGAACCCTCCTTACCACCCCCCAGCATCCTCCAGAGCTGTGTTAAATCTCAGAGGCCTCACTGCCTGAGCCCCCAATTCTCCGACTCTCTGTGTCTCCTCGTCTCTGCCCAACCTGGCCTCAGGGACAAGAGATAGAAGGGAGCCTTCAGCCGTGGGTCTTAGGGCTTTGCAGTGTCTCTCCCCCTGCCTGACCCTGGAGGTCCAACTGTGCCTGACTTTTTTTCGGGGTCGAGGTAAGGACTGGAGAAGAGACTGGTTTCCACTGGGGAAGCCACAGATGTGTGCTTGGTGCCAAGGGTATGGCCCCCAGCACACTCACACTGCACTTGGAGGTGAATCTTGCCCTGAGTCCTCTGCTTGGCCACTGAGAGTTCGCACTGTAGGGTCCGGCCGTGGTCCTGCCAGGACAGGGCCATATGGAGGGTCCCCAGGTGGCTGATGCCCGTGGGCTTGAGATTCTGGAAGCTGGAGGTGACCGAGCGTGAGGGGTCCTGGCCTTGCCACTGCAGGCTGATGTGCTCCTCCGGGCAGGCGTAGGGAGTGGAGCAGTTGAAGTAGGCCTCTGTGCCTTCATGAAGCTCTGCCGCCGAGGCAATGGTGGGTGTCTCGGGCGTCTCTGGGGACAAAGACCGGAGACTTGGGACTCCCCTTCACCACACATGAGGCCTCTTGCCCTAGAAAGCCCAGCTGAGGGGCAGGACCTGGGCAGAGTCCCTCAAGAGGAAGGAGAGGCCGCTTCCTACCCCCAGCCCCACATAGGGTAAATGCAAAGGAGCTGCAGGGGTTGGGCTTAGGATTGGGGCTCTGAGCCCATGGGTCCAGAAGCAGCTTGAGAGACCCTTCCAGCCAGGAGCCAGGTTGCTCTGCCCTCACCTGTCACAGTGACCACAGTGCCTTTAACATCAGACCAGCTGTTGACATCACTGATCTCAAAACGGAAGTTGTAGGAGCCCGAATCCTCAGGCCGCAGGTCCTTCAGCAGCAGGGTACACATCTTGTGCTCCGTGTGCCCCAGGAACTGGGCACGGCCACGAAACTGTGCCTCCACCAGCTTGGGGTTCTCCGAATGGCTCACCACCTGCCGGTTGCCCGAGTAGTCGTAGTACCAGATGGCTGTGATGCGATTGGTCACTTTCACGTCAGCCGGGAAACTGAAGACACAGGGGATGATGAGGCAGGACCCCTTCACGCCCTTCACATCCTGGGGACTGGAGACACCCCATGAGGCCAGGCCTGCAGGTGAGGCAAGACAGAGAGGAGAGTAGTGAAGACCTGGTGTCACTGCAAAGCCCTCAGGTCTGCCCTGCCCCCAACAATGGGCACCTGGAGCAGCCTGCCCACCCCCCCCATCCCTTGCCCCAGCCACTGCTGCCCTGAGCTCTCCTTCGTTCTGCCGGACAGACCTGTGACGGGGCCCAGTGCCGTCGGTCAGGGGCCAACGGAGGGCTGGACGTCCCAGGGCCAGGCCCCGTGGCATGGACAAGGTCAGTGCAGCTCACCTGCCGAGATAAATGAGACCGACTGGAGAAGCTGGAGCAGGAAGTCCATAGCAGGTTTGACTCTGGCTCTGGTGCCTAAGGAGGAGATATACACTGTGCTTGCTGGGCACACCAGGGCACCCTAGGGCACCTCAGCCTCACAGTCTGCTGAGAGTCCAGCTCTGTGCCCCTAGCATGCTATGACAGTTGACCCCGTGGAAGGGCAGGGCTGCCAAGGACTCTAGGGCAGCCAGCAGTGGGGAGACGTTCCTGGCTCGGACTGCACCCCAGAATACCTTCACCCAGTGGCATGCCTCAGAAAACCCTTTGTGTGTCCCTCAGCCCCACCCCAAGTTCTGCTTTCCCAGCCCCTTGAGGGCACTCCTCCAAAGCAGATGAGCAGCTGTTTCTCCCTTTCCTCTCACTTCCCTACCTCTTCCCCACCACTCAAGCCAACAGGAACTAGCTAGGAGCCCAGAGAGGCCCAGTGACTCACTCCAAGGCACCCTGCAAGTATGAGGGTTTAAAACTTGTCTCCTGACCATAAGCCTTACCAGCTGTAGGCCACAATGGGACTGAATACTTACCAAAGTGCTGCCTTTAAGCACTTACTTCCATCCCTGAAACGTCCTCCTTCTGACTCACACTTCTGCCCCCATTCCCTGCTCCCCACACACACAGCCTATGGCCAGTCCCATAGACTTTCCAACTGAGCAGCTCTGCCCCCACCACAAATAATCTTTGCCTGCTGAACCCTCTTTATTCACTCTTAAGAGGCAGCTGAAACTTCCCCTGTGGGGTCCCTGTAGTCACCCCACAGGCATTTCTGTGCTCGCCTGGACCTTGGCAGTTTGTGATCCCCATTTCTCAGGAGTGGGGACTGAAGACACGTGCCCTGAGGCAGTGCAGAGCCCACCAAGCCTTGCAATTGTGAACAAGAGAGGAGTGTGATCTTTGAGGGCCTGGGGTTGGTGGCAGGGAAAGTCTGAGCAGGGGACACAAGCCCTGCACAACATGTATCCCACAAACATGAATTAAATGCCTACTGTATACCATATATAAGAAGGTGAGTTTCTCGGGATCCCTGGGTGGCTCAGTGGTTAAGCGCCTGCCTTTGGTCCAGGGCATGATCCTGGAGACTGGGGATCAAGTCCCGCATTGGGCTCCCTGCATGAAACCTGCTTATCTCTCTCTGCCTGTGTCTCTGCCTCTCTCTCTCTCTCTCTCTCTCATGAATAAATTTTTAAAAATCTTAAAAAAAGAAAAGGAAAGTGAGTTTCTGCCTTTGAGTGGCCCTCCTGGAGATGAGGCCCTAAGGGGTGCCACATATATGAATCTGGGGGGGGGAGGATGCCAGAAATACATTTAACTTAAAGTATAAAACCACTAGAAGAAAACATGGGTGACAATCTCCCTGCCCTAAGACCAGGTAATGATTTCTCAGGTATGACACCAAAAGCATAAGCAACAAAAGAAAAAAAATCAGATAAATTGGACTTCATAAAAATTTAAAACTTTTGTACACATCAAAGACACTACCAAGAGAGTGAAAAGAGAACCCACAGAATGGGAGAAAACATTTGCAAATTATCTATCTGAAAGGGGTTGATATCTAGAATATATAAAGAACTCCTACAACTCAACAAGAACAACAACAAAACCCCAAACAACCCAAATTCAAAAAATGGGGTAAGAACTTCAATACACACTTCTCCAAAGATGATATACAAGTAGCCAATAAGCCCATAAAAAGATGTTCAACATCATTAGTCAATAGGGAAATACAAATTAAAGGCACAATCAGCTACCACTCCATACCCATCAGAATTGCTCTTAACAAACAAAACCAGAAAACAATGAGTGTTGATGAGGATGTGGAAAAATTGGAAGCCCCGTGCACTGCTGGTGGGAATGTAAAATGGCACAGCCTCTGTGGAAAATAGTTTGGTGGCTCCTCAAAAGTCAAACATAGATTACCATGGCCTCCAGCAATTTCACTGCTAGGTATCAACCACAAAGATTTTATTTTATTTTTTAAGGTTTTATTTATTTATTCATAAGAGACACACAGAGAGAGGCAAAGACATAGGCAAAGGGAGAAGCAGGCTCCCTCTGAGGAGCCCAATTCGGGACTCGATCCTAGGATCACAACCTGAGCCAAAGGCAGACCCTCAACCACTAAGCCACCCAGGCACCCCAACCCAAAAGATTTTAAAACAGAGCCTCATGGATTCCTGGGTGGCTCAGGGGTTTAGCACCTGCCTTCAGCCCAGGGTGTGATCCTGAAGACCCGGGATCGAGTCAAACATCAGGCTCCCTACATGGAGTCTGCTTCTCTCACTGCCTGTGTCTCTGCCTCTCTCTCTCTCTCTCTCTCTCTCTCTCTCAAATAAATAAAATAAAATAAAATAAAATAAAATAAAATAAAAAACAGAGCCTCAAAGAGATACTTGTATATTCATGTTCATAGCAGCATTATTCACAATAGCCAAAAAATGGAAACAACCTAAGTGCCCATCAATAGACAAATGGATAAAAGAGATGTGGTCTATCCATACAATAGAATATTATTCAATCATAGGAAGGAACAAAATTCTGACTCATGTGACAACGTGGGTGAACCCTAAAAACATTATTCTAAGTGAAACCAGCCACATATCAAAAGGCAAATATTGTATGATTCTACTTATATGAGGTACCTGGAGTATGCAAATTCAAAGAGACAGAAAGTGAAGTACAGGTTACAGGGGCAAGGAGAGGATGTGGAGGAGAGAGTGGAGAGTTAATGTTTAATGAATACAGAGTCTCTTTTTCAGATGATGAAAAATTTCTGGAAATCCACAGCAGTAATGGTTACACAATAATGTGAATGTATTTAATGCTGCTGAACTGTACACTTAAAAATGTTTAAAACTGCTGTACGTTTTATGTTAAGTATATTTTACAACATGCATACAAAAACCCATGGTGCTAGGGCACCTGGGTGGCTCAGTCAATTAAGCATCTTGCCTTGGGCTCAGGTCATAATCTCAGGGTTTTGGGATTGAGCCCATTGTCAGGCTCCCAGCTCAGGGGGAAGTCTACTTCTCCTTCTCCCTCTGCCCCGTCCCACTGCTCATTCTCTCTCTCTCTCTCAAATAATAAATCTTTAAAAAACAAAAAACAAAAATCCATGTTGCCAATTTTGCAATCCTCCCTGATCCTACATGCTGACTCAGCAGAATTAGGGGGCAGGCCTGAGAAGATGAGAGTGGGACAGGAAACTCATGACATCTCCCAGCTCCCAGCCCATGGCCACAAGATGGGGCCCAACTGATTCTGGCGACTACCAGGGGGCATACCTGGGACGGGGCTGAGCAGACACCCAGGGCCTGGATGGGATCTGAATTGTCTATCAGGGTAATGGTACTTAGCCAAGTGTGATGTGAGAAAGGGCATCCTTTCAGGAACAGGGCAAAGCAAAGATGTGGGAAGAACACTGTTTCTCAGGGGACCCAACAGCAGGCAGCCCTGATCATTTGCTGAGGCCCAGTGGCTTGTCCTGATTCTTTGGGTGTTTCTAGACCTGTTCCTCTCCCAGGAGGATATACCCAACAGCCTCTACACCTGGTCCTTGGCTGTAGGAAAGGCCCATGCTGGGCTGGGGTATGGCCTGGATGTTGGGCTGGAAGGCAACACTGGGCATGTTTGGGACAGGCTCTGGGGCTCAGAGCCGCACTGGGTAATGAGGTCAGCTCTGCTGTAGCAGAGCTATCAGGAAGGTAGCAGCATGTTGGCTCCAGTGTTCCTACTGTTCCCATTTGGGGCCATGGAAAGGACAATGCTGGGGCATCTGGGTGGCTCAGTGGTTGATCTTCTGCCTTTGGCTCAAGTCGTGACCCCAGGGTCCTGGGATCGAGTCCCTCATCAGGCACCCCTCGAGGAGTCTGCTTCTCCTTCTGCCTATGTCTTTGCCCCTCTCTCTGTGTCTCTCATGAATAAATAAATAAAATGTGAAAAAAAAAAGAGGAAAAGACAATGCTGAAACTACAAGAGGAATGATGATATTTTAGACCTACTAACCCCAGAATGGAGCAGAGATTTTTGAAACACGTGAGAGGACCCTTTCTAGAACCACCCTAAATCACATCATGTAGATGTCACCTACACTTAACCCAGCCCCAACACCCAAGAGGTCAGTCCCACCAGAGTCCAGCTCATTGTCTCAAACTGTTCCACCCCAAAGACCAGCCTCATCCTAGAAAACTTTCTGGGAAAAAGAAGGGTCAAGATGAGCCCCAGAAAGGAAGACCCTTGTCTCTATTTAAAACCTCCCACTGTGGGGTAGGTGCTGCTCCTAGGGCTTGGACAATGAGCTGGATGTGTGGGTGTGACCTTGCACCCCCTGGTGGTAAAGGGATGATTTCCAGTCCTGGGCGGAGGGGGGTGGGTGACAGAGCAGCCCTGAAACAACCCCTTCCTTAGGCAATGACCATCTGAGAGAGGATTGTTCTCCAGACCTCAGAAAGTCCCTGAGGTTCATCTTTGTATCTCCAAGTCTCGGGTGCTCTGAAGATAGGGTTTAAATCCCCACTCCTAGAATTAGTATATGATGCATCAGGGTTGGGCTGGGGTGGCCTGGCACACAGTGGGTGCACATATTTGCTGCCTGTGTGAGAGCAAGTGGGTGGGCAAAGTCTATGTGAGACCAAGTGTCCCAAGATAACTGGGCAGGGCTGGCTGGTCCCTGACCTCTGATCCCAGAGACCAGTCTGGCCTGGGGAAGGAGGGGTAGAGGTAGTTTCATTGCAGACAGTGATGCAGGATTCAGTTTCTGTTTCCTAGCACCAGGGTTTCCCCCTCAACTTCCCTATCAAGCTGCAGAAGAAGGGAAATGAGGTGACAGGGCCATCTGGAGTGCTCTGCCCCACAGATAGGAAATCAGGGTACAGATAGACACTTCCAGAGTGTACTATCTTTGTAATAGTGGAAAACCCCAAACATAAGCCAAAGATTTCACTTGAAAAGCCATACAATCCACAAATGAAGTCTACTGGCTTTTTTTTTTTTTTTAATGATAGTCACATAGAGAGAGAGAGAGAGGCAGAGACACAGGCAGAGGGAGAAGCAGGCTCCATGCACCGGGAGCCCGACGTGGGATTCGATCCCGGGTCTCCAGGATCGCGCCCTGGGCCAAAGGCAGGCGCCAAACCGCTGCGCCACCCAGGGATCCCAGTCTACTGGCTTTTAAATGAGCAATAGAAATCTCACATCTCGTTCTT